GCGCAGTGAAAAACCCACACAGGAAAAACGGGAATTTTTACGCAAAATAGGTCTTCCACAAAACCGACTTTGGTTTTTGGTGTAACTCTAAAACAAATGAACACATATTGTAACTTTCACGGGTTGTTTATATTTCCATTTTCCATACACGATCAAATTTTCAAAATATTTTGATTTGTTTTGAACCGTTTTTCTATGAATGTCAATAAAACCGTATTTGTTGGGTAAAAAGCTTGAAAATTGAATACAAGGCTCCTACTATATTGTTACAACGACATTTGAAAAATATTAAAAATCCTTGGTCACAGTTTTTTTTTTTTTTTTTTATAAGCATTTGAAGTTCGAATTTTGACAACATTTATCAAATTTAAAATGTAATGATTATTTTAACCACTTGAATCCATAAGAACGTCGAAGTGAACCGTCCCAACATTTCTATTTCTTAACTTTTCTCCTCAACTATGAAAGCCAGTGCCATAGGTATTTTTGCAAGGACAAATGAGACATTTTCACTGGGCCCACTCAAAAGAGGGGCCCACCGACATCAGGCAAATTAAATATTAATTTTATACCTTTTTATTATACTTTGGAAAAACAAAATAGATTTGGATTTTACTTGAATATTTTTGTAAAGTATAATACATTTTCCCTGGAAACGATGACTTTGTCGACAACAAAATCTAATTGCCATTATTATCGTAATATCGTATTATCGTCTTGTTATTACTATTGACGTCATTGGCTTGCGTTGTTACGAGATATACGTCAGTCGTATTTATCGTATATCTATTGGTAATTTGTTTATTATTTTTAATAATTTAAAATGTCAAAAAAATACTTAATTGTCTCAATGAATAGAAAATTAAAGGACAGATGAGATAAAGAAACAAATAAATTAAATGGTACCTAGTTTAGATAAATCTACGTTTAGAACTAGTTTATCTACTATATAGGCATACAGCGCACAATCGAAATGTTTGTAAAAGATGATTAGCTGAAATAAAATTTTGACTTAAGAACTTTTACTTTGATATATAACTATAAAAGTATAATATTAATAATCAAAAACTCATTTTTTTTTTAAAAAAATACGTTTGCTTTTTAATTTGTGTACTTACTTGAATAAATATTAAACATTAATTATAGACGCATTGAAAGTGTAAAGTCTTCCTGTATATTAAATAGTCAAATTTTTAAAAATAAAATATATATACATTTTATTTTATAGTTGAAGAAAGTATAGAGATGGACAATTTGGGGCCTAAAACTGAAAATTGTACTGGGCCCATAAATTGGTAAATCAGGCCCTGATGATAGCTAGAAAGTTGGTTGTAAACTCATCAAAAAGGGATTATCAAGTAGATACTAAATGTGGAATTAATATTTTTTTTTTTTAAACTATTTAATTTTTCACAGATAAAAAAAGTTATTTTTTGCTGGATTTTCATTTAGCTAGGTAGATTTCCGAAACTGGAGAACGGATTTTGTTGTTTGGGGTCTTGTTAGATTCACATTGGCTAGGAGAAATGCAGTGAAGATTTTTTATTTTCTATTTCTGATTAATTAAACTATTGAGGGTGAATTTTAAATTTGTCTTAGTGGTGAAGGGATGATTGCAGATGGTCATGACAATTTTTACATGGTTGAAAAGTGTATTAAGCTGAAATTAATAGTTAGATATGTGAATAATGTATTTAAATGTGTAAAATAAAAACAAAAACAAATGTTTTAATAGGAATATAAATACTTACAGTGTGATTGGAAGGGCTTTTTGAATATGAAAAGTACAAGTAGGTGCATGCTAATATTAATGTTTCATTATAATTATCGACAGGAGGTAGGCGAAACATAGCCATACACTCCTTGTCGATAATTATATTGTGTGCGGAATGATTTTCTCCTGGACATCTATAATGTTAAAATATTATGTTAAAAGTATACGAGGTGTGTCAGATATAACTGGCTTTTGGGATACATTTTCTTGTAATAATTCATAATTTTTATTTTTGATTCTAAGAGTGAATTACAAATGGCTTAGATTTAATCGGAATACTGGTCCCAACACTTACCCCATTTGCAAATTCAGAACATCCACAGTATGGTAAAATTTCCACCAGGTGTCCAGGCCAGAAATGAAGCATTGGAAGTCCAAATCCAACATGCCCAACATACGGTGGTGAATGGTCTCCGTCGCATTCACCACCATATGAGACCATTTGACTATGCCTTCAATTGAGGACTGAAATCTGGCGACGTACCTCACCACCAGTTGAGTCTTCATCAGCCAGATCTTTTGATCTAGAAGCGTACAAATTGCATCACTGAAAAATAAAAAAATTAGTAAATAAGAATTTTGTAAATAACCTATGAACCATTTCACTCACTTTTTTGGATGTACATTGAAATTGTACATTAAATGTTCATTGAGGCTGTGGTTTAATGCCACAGCCGTACTCATATCCAATTTAGATGAGTGATTACATAAGGGAGGAGGCTGAGGTTGAAAAAAGTCTTTAAAAAATGGGTCTAAATATGAGGTTTCCGGATTAATTGGTAACGATTTTTGTAAAGAAATAAATTTTGAGTGACATTGTACCGAACCATTTTGGAATAATTTAACTGTAGATTTAATTTGATTTGAAATGAATTTTTTCCCCAATTTTTTGCTGAAAGTTTTATTGACGAATTTTGAAGCTAAAGATTTTAATTTTATGTAGTCCCCCCCTAAAATTGTTTCTTCCTCATTCTCCTCCCCTATGTAATCGATTGCCTTTCTAAAATTTGTATACCTTGATGGCGCCTGTAAAAAGTGTATTATTGTATATAATATATTGTATATATAAATTTTTTTTTTACCTACTTCAGTGTTAGCGTATACGTGGTATTGAATGTCACCAAGGTTGTTCTTGATAAAAGAATTGAGCTTTTCCACACTATCGACCCTGCAGTCAAAACTTTTCACGAACCACAATAGTGATTCGCTACTCTGTGTTCTGCCTTTCGGTATTGCAGCTGCGATCAGCTTAACCATGTTCTATAAGATTTATTTACTGGTAAGATTTACGTCAAAAAAATAACAAAACACCAATGCTTTTATAAAAAAATAAAACATTTATACTTCATTCGCCAAATATTTCCTTTTGTGTATTACAGATGATGTTGATGGTTGGCAATGTACGATTTTCATATGAAATATTATCGTCGATTCATATATGAACGCCTTTTGGCAAAATGGGCATTTTAATTTTAAAAAAATATATTTTTTTTCTGCACCCGAATACCTTCTGTCAATATCATTGTTTTCCAAAGCTATAAAAAAAAATTTTAAAAAAAGGTGGGCAAGTGGATTTCAGAGGTGATGACAGACACAAAAAAAAAAAAAAAAAAAACACATCATTGTAAAATCAATACATTAATCGTTTCGCTAAGAATCTAAAATCACATAATTGTAAAACCAATACAATCATCGTTCCGCTCAGAATCTAACAATTTAAGAACTTAATTAAATACTTACAGTTATTGAATTGCATGATGAATCACAAACAAACTAGATATAAAAAAACAATAAATAATTAAGTAAATAATTGAATTAAACTAATAATCGTGGTATATGTGTACGTATAGTTTACAGATTTGAAGCTACTGCTACGGCGTTCAATCAGTTAGTGAAAGTTGTTAGTACATGGAGTTGTAGTCTTCTTTCAGTCAAAATCGACAACCACCATATTACATATACGGGTAAGACACGGAGTGTAGAGTTTTCCACGGATAATTTGTTTAATCATAATTTGCAGCTACGGCTACAACGTACAGTATAATAATTCTTGGTATACGTTTTTCTAGTTTTCTTCGTTATCAACCATATTCAGAGTATAGTGCTATCCACGACGGATACTCGGAAATGATTTTGGAGAAAAGCGTTTCGAATATATTCCAATAACCAACATGACAAGACATCGAAAGAAAGGGGATTGCTCTATACTACCGACTAATTAATTACTTATTTCTATTTGTCGTACGTCTGCTTTGATAGTTCACCAAAAATCCAATTCTTGGACAATCGCTATGAAAAGCACGTCGTTAGATAGGTATAGACGTTGGCTACTCGGTGTACAAGTTTCAAAAATAAGGACTAAGAATTACGGGGTCCAGGACTTGTAACTGAAAAAATGATTTTTTTTTGGTTGCATCCCAGCGGTAAATCATAGATTAGTGAGTATTGTTATTCTGAATTACTATTCATATAACATATTATTTCATACTTATTATTGCTATCACAAAATTATTTTGTCAATTTTAGTCAGCTTGGCCTAAATTAACCCGCCGGTGGTGTCGCTAATTTTTGTACACTGTTGGTGTCGTTTTAGGGTTTCGCACTTTCGCTCACCTATTAAAATACACGTGTGAGCATACAAATTAATGTACCGAGGTACTGCTAAAGCATAATACACTATTATACAATCACATTATTATATTAATATAAATAAAAAAAAAAATATTATATACTATTGACTTTCACCTTATAACCATAACAAGTTTTTTGCAATCGTTCCACACCGCCCAAGGGGCCATTGCACATGGTGCGTTTTTTTTATAGTGGTATCACCGATAGTCCTAGTCCACTGTTTTACCTTACCTAGTTTAAGGATAACATTTTATTTTAGATTCTGAGTGAAACGATGAATGTATTGATTTTACAATGATGTGTGTTTTTTTTTTTATTTTTTTATTTTTTTATTTTTTTTGTAATATAATGCCAGTATTAAATATTGTGGAAAATAACTCTTATTCCTTTTCTTTGTAATATTTATTTACAAACTATTTTTTCGAATTTTGGTACAACGTCATGTATTATATATATATGCGTAATAATATATATTTATGTATACATTTTATACATAAATGCATTTATAATAGGGTATACACTATACACTGTACAGAAGTATAAACAATTTATAAAGTGTTGCGTTTATTAAAGTACATAACTGAATAGATAATCGTCATTTTTTTGTTTGAAAATAACTAATGTTTATAAGCTCTATGGCAAATTTAACGTCTTCTTTTTCGACAGTTCGTGAAAGCCTTGCCTTTGCATGTGCTGTTCCTAACCGAATCATGCTTTCAACTGTTCTTGGTGTTATAGGCATGGTTCTCTCCGCGTCCTCACTGACAGCCTCCCGTGACCGGAGCCTCGCGTACTCCTCGGTGACAAGTGCACAAGCCTCATTGTCAAGTTGGGGCTTTGTGCACTTAGCAATGGCCAAATATTTCCTAACAAAATCAATTTTTAAAAGTTTCTGACAAACTGGTCCATGCAGTGTCTTGTTGTGCCTTTCAAACACGTCGTCCAGTTGACATGCTGCAGGACTTATTGTGGTTAGGACATCCACACCTGAACTTAATGGCAACACTTCACCGTCTTTTTCTTTTGGATCTCTGTACCTTTGAATACGCACTACATGGTCACTTATGAGAATATCATTTTCACGATCAGGTACATCCAACATGATCATCATTAAATCAAACCGAGATAGTAAGGAATCTTGCATACCTATGTTATCCCTTGGAGTTTTACGTCGATCATAATAACCACCTAGTGGGTTAGCAGCGGCTAAAACAGAGCATCTGGCATTGAGTTGTGCATGTATACCAGCTTTTGAAATAGACACTTTCCCTTGCTCCATAGCTTCATGTATAGTTACTCTGTCAATATCTGACATTTTATCAAATTCATCAATACACACCACACCTCTGTCAGCAAGTACCATAGCCCCAGCTTCTAAATGACGACCACCAGTTGATCTGTTGGTAGTGACGGCTGCAGTTAAACCAACTCCCGTAGATCCTCTCCCTGTAGTGCCTACTACAAAGGGAGCAACATTCAATACGCATCTCAATAGTTGTGATTTTGCCACACTTGGATCCCCAATTAATAAAATATGGATATCTCCACGTATGCGGGAGTTGTTGGGTAGAGTAATTTCAACTCCGCCTAACAACAAACATACTATAGCCCTTTTTACGAGTATATTGCCATAGAGGGAGGGGGCTATTGAATTAGCCAATAAATCAAATATATTATATTTTTCTGTGTTTGCTAGGTCCCTACACTTGGTGAAGTCGGACCGGTCAACCGAAAAATTTGCATTTTTTAAAACAATGTTGTTGGCAATAAGCATTGTTTTAAAAAAAATGCTGCCTTTTGGTGGCAGAAAAGAACGATAATGACCAATAATCATTACCCTGTCACCCGGTTTGCACATATCCACCAAATCATGCTCAACTACCACATCAGCAGACCGGACACCTTGCCCGGCTGGGCTGTTTTCAGTGGACTCTTGAATAATCAAGGACTGCCGATCTTTAAACATTGATATGCCAAACTCAGTCTCCAAGAGATTGCCCTCATTATCTCTACTCGGATAAGTGCAATTTGAAGTAGCAGTGTTTAACAATGCATTTGCTCTAACAATGTTGTACTTACGTACGTCGCCTATATCGATATATATTCTCCTCTTGTTTTCCCGTATCATCGTTTTAATTTTTTTATGGTACACATCGGTCGTGAATTCGTCGCACAAAAAATCCATATAACACAACACAACACTGTCGTCCATGATGAAGATTAACTGTACGCCGTCAAGGTGTAACGCGGACTGTAACCCAATCGGAAATTTATGACATACGCCGACACTCACAAAAGGCGCCGTACTTCGACTGTACTGGCACCCCACAGTTGGCCGGCCCTTACGGATACAGTACTGGCCCATAATTTTATCAAGTACTACACCAGTACTGAAAAACTAGTACTGGTAACCAGTGTGCAGCCAGTGTTGACTCAATACTGGCATACTACGGGCACTGAATGAATTTCGACCGTGGGCCAGCCAGTGTAAGTCATAGTTGTTCCAACGTTGGCGGAATACTGGCATATTACGGTCTATGTTTCAATTGCGAGCAAGGGCCATCCAGTGTTTGTCGTAGTTGTGCCAACGTTGGCGGAACACGGGCATATTACGGGCCCCGACCGATATGCCAGCAAAGGCCATCCAGTGTTCCTCTTAGTTGTGCCTACGTTGGCTGAGTACTGGCATATTACGGTCTATGTTTCAATTGCGAGCAAGGGCCATCCAGTGTTTTCGTATCTGTGCCAACGTTGGTGGAATACTGGCATATTACGGGCCATTTAGTAATTTCGACATTTCGTAAGTTTCCCCTAGCTCCTCCTTTTTTTTGAGTTAAGTATTTGTCAGCGGGGTTTTAACTTAGGAGGATCGTTTCTTCACCTAACATTTTGGTTTAGACCCATCTAAAACGTACTCCCAGAGTCGAGGGTCCACGGACCCCTCCCCTAGGTGTATTTTGGAAAACGTTTAGTTTTTGTACAACGTTTCTGATACTCGATATTTGGGTAGTCTGGTGGTCGGTGATCAAATTCAGCGTCTTGTGTCGAGACCATATAGGAGCTGTTTTCTCTCGTCTTTTGGGGCTTCGAAATAGTTCAAAATTTATGTTATTTTCAGTTTTTTGACACTGAAACTTAGATTTAGAGTGCGGTGAGCCGTTTTGTAGTGGGATGTTATAGTGGATTTTGCGCTGGATCGATGGGTACTAATATTGAGGTTATCCGACTTTTTATTCGGAAGTTATGATTTTTCGTGTGTTTTTTTAATTCGAAAATTACGTAGTTACGTGGTTTTTTAATATTGGGTTTTCGTTCGATCACCACGAAAATTGAGTTGGTACATTTTGGCGTACGATGATTTAAAAAGGATCTACGGTCGAAGTGCGTACGACTATTATTTCACCCGTAATCGGAGTTACAAAAAGTTAAAAACGCATTACGTGATTTTTCGTTAACCATACGTTTCCTTGCATAGTACCTATAATACGTCCGTTTAACGTTTTAAGTAATAATTATTTTGAATTTTTTTGGTATAAGAAGCCGTGTAGCTCATTATTTATTAATGTAAATCGATATAGGTATATAAAAATAAAATATTAAAAATAAAAACTATATAAATAGGTATATAAAATTAGGCAAATTCACTCTAGAATAGTCTAATATATATATTTAAGCTAACAACATAAAATTGGAACGGCTTGACGTAAATTATGATAACATAATATTGTTATGTAGCCACAATAATATTTTACTTTAAGTCTTTAACTTTTGTAACATAATAATAAACGAATAATAATTATTCGTATAATAATTTTGGATGTCTGATATATAGGTATATATAGGTATATCTATACAATGAATGAGTTATGTTATTGTTATACTGTTATGTGGATACGAATTACAATACGATTGGTAGGTATTATTAGGACATATAGCCTTATATTGGACTAATTATTCATACCTCTCCGGTAAGTATTATTTATATTAAGTGTTGACTTTTGATATTATTTAAAGTCGAAATCGATGTCGGAAAAATTAATGCACATACTATAACTTGCAAATTATGTTGCCATATTGGTTAAATTGTGCATATAATATTATATTATATTTTACTGTAGTGACTGTTTATTTAAATATTTTTGTGTGTACCTATACGGCAAAATCTGAAAAGTACACCTATTTCATCAAAACCAATCAATTTATAACTGCATTTGAAGTCAAGTGAAGTAGATTTTTTATCAAATGTCGGTAAGTGTAGATATTATTGTTATTCATAATAAATTATTCTAAAATCAATGGTTGTATTATAAATGATACGCATTATATTTCTCGTTAAAAATTGTATGATTTGTATTTTGTATTTAAGTCAGTGGGACAGTACCCGCTGCCCAGTGGTCTATGATCATGAAAAATGTTATTATAATCGTTTCTATAACATAGAACAGTCTCAAAGCTTTCACCCACTTCCTTGAAAGTTGAAGATGTTTGTAGTACATATATTTAATCATTTTAAAGTGTATAAAACAAGTCACAATAATAATACAATACAATCAATCAATCAATCAATCAATCATATCGCAGTCTAATCTCTAGTAATAAGTATTAATAATAGACCTTATATAATAAAATATTAGGTATAATATAATATTTTTACAGTAATAATATATTATTATCGTATAGCTGGTAAATAAACATCATTTTGTTATTTGATTACGATTTATCAGTTGGGAAAACCCTATAACGGCTATACCCACGAACAACGAGTCGTTAATCATTGTGAACGACCGCCGCCGCTCCATTATATCTCACACTATCACATGGTTTCTATAAACAGTCTTGTGAGTGACGACAGTGCCAAACCAATGCGACATTGCGACCGTGGACCGTGTTACTTGAAAGTTGAAACTGTGAAAGTGTGACTATTAAGTATTAACTACTTACATACCTACTTCAATCAAATTTAATTATAATTTTTTGTTTATAATTGCATCTCTTATACATTTTCGGTAAGTACCTATTGTTTTTACTAAAAATATTATAGGTAGTAGGTAGTAGTAGTAGTAATGCTTAACAGATAATCTCGTGGTAAATACTAAATACATTTGGTTAAGTAGGTAGGTAATTAGAGACTAACCGGGGAGACAATTGAAATAGGTATTCAATATTGTTTGAGCAAAATATAGAATATATATATAATATATGATAAAATTGGTATTAGCTAACCGTACATAATTTATTAATTATTTAACATTACTTAGGTAGATATTGCAACAAATTAAATTATAGGTGGGTAGGTACTTATATTATAAACCCATAAATGTATTATAATTTATAATATTATACAATTACCTACCTATAAGTTCTATAGTTAGGTATTCTAATATTAGTAATTTATTCCTAACCACAAGGTAGTATTATGTGTACAATTATTTTTTATTATATATACCTATTAATGAAATCTGTGATGTCAATATTGATGGTCACATATTCTGATGATACTTGTCTATTTTTTTTGCATAAGTCCTGTGATGGACTACAGAGGTTTTAGTCAAATCTTAAATAGTTTAAACCTCGGTTTAAACGATAGAAATCTACCTATAGTTTTAGATGTGGATAAATTTAAATCAACAAATATGTAGTTAATTATTATAATACTATTTCATTTCATTCTTTGACATTATCAAAATCTGTAGTTCACAAACCTGTACAATTATTAATAAAGTGAAAAAATTCGATACTTAGGAGTAATAGATATTTGATATCAATTTAAGCTGAAATTGACATATTAACAACTTATTAGGGAAGCTTCGCTTCATAACTTACAAGTTACTCAAAGTTAATTATATTGTACAAAAATATACAATGAGAATAATAATTTACTATGCACTTTATCAATATAATTTTCAATATAGTATATTAGTATGGGTTGGTCTTCGTGATAACTAAATGCACTAATAGTTAACCAAAATAACATTGTTAGAATTTGTCTAAATAAATGTACCTACTGTTAGAGGATCTATAAATCAAAACAACAGGGAATTTATTTATTACAGGGTACCTACTTATACTAAAAAATAGTAATTATGCATTTATTTAAAAATGTTAAATTAGACAATCACTATATAAACTTATGCAATTAAAGAGAATTAAGAAATATTATGATTTTCCTGTTAACTATGCCAATAAATCTTTTGATCAGTCTTATTATTATTATTTGAGACCAATATTAATTAATTCTATGAAATTTGAATTTAAAAAAAATATATAATAATAGGTGATATACCTACTATGAATATTAAATATGTAGTAGGTATATAAATATTTATTTATGGAATTGGAGAAGAACACTCTGTTAATATAAAGTTGGTTCTGTTTTTTATTGTTTAATTATTTTTAGACGTCATGCTATATTATATTAAGATTATATTATGCTCATACATTTTGCTTAAGCATATTACATTTGGTGAGTAACTTTCATAATTTCTCATAACTATTATACCTAGGTACCATCTAATAACAATAAATAAAAAACAACAAAGTTCATAAACATAATAATACTCAGTTGAAAACTGTTAAAAAAAAAAAAAATAAATGATGTCTTAGGTATACCTATAGTATTCATGTGATAGGTTTAGTATCATTATTAACCAAACATTTGAAAATAACTAAGTACCTACCTAAACCATTTTAATATTTTTAACGATTGGGTAGTAACCTAACGATTAATAATAAAAAAAATATTTTCATCAATTTTGTTATATTTTTCTTCCAAATTATGAATAATACCTATTTAATATTGAAATAGGTCTTAGCAAAAATAGAAATTGTTTGAAAATGTACCTATGTAAATAATTAGAATTTTTTTTTTTTGTTTTTTATTTTATTGGATGGTTGCAGCTGTTATAAAATGTCATAGGTATGCAATAAATAACTGTGCTTCATAAATCAGGTAAAAATTATATTCATTAGGTAAGAAGAATAAGAAAATGTCTTCATATAATAGAGTAAAAAAACATCGCCAATTGAAACGTTCCGCTGTTGAAGAATCAGTAGTATCAAGTAATGAATCAGGCATTGTTGAACCATATCCAAATATGCCAATAGAAAATCCAGATTCTTCGACATATGTATTTTTTAAAGATGATGTTGATGATCACTTGACCGATTCCTCTTTTGAGAATACTAACCAATCACCAAATTATGACGAATGTTCTGTGTCTTCTCTGTCATTAGAAGAATCATCTAACTCAGATGGAGCCTCTTGTCAAGGAGGTGACAGTCAAAATATAAATGCTACAGTCACTACTTTCCGTGACAGATTGCAAGGTTGGGCTGTGAAGTTTAGAAATAACCTTACAGTTGAAGCAATAGATGGCTTATTAGAGGTGTTACGGACTGATCATTTTTATAGCTTACCAAAATCATCAGTTGGTTTATTAAAAACAAAATCAAATAAAAACATTAAGATTATGATTAGTTCAAAGAACACTAACTGCTCTTATGTGTACTTTGGTGTTGAAGAAAGTTTGAAAGAAATAATAACTGATGAATATCTAGATGACAGTATACGTTTATTATTTAACGTGGATGGTTTGCCATTGTTTAATAATTCAAATGAACAGTTCTGGCCTATTTTGGGTCTTATCATACATAGTGAATACGAATCAAAACCATTTATTGTGTCTGTTTACAGTGTTGATGCTAAACCAAAAAGTGTAAATGAGTTTTTTGAAGATTTTGTTGAAGAAATAAAAATGTTGGTTCAGAATGGAGTGACGATTGAAACTCGTATATTCAAAGTAGACATTATTGGATTTACTTGTGATACACCTGCAAGATCATTTCTTAAGCAGTGTAAAGGTCATGGAGGCTTTTATGCTTGCGAGCGATGTGAAATTAAAGGCAAGACTAAAAACAAAAGGAGAGTATATCCCAGTGTAAATTCTAAACGACGCACTAAAAAAAGTTTTATTAAACAACGACAAGCTGAACACCATCTGGGAGAAAGATCACCTTTATTAAGTATACCACACTTTGACCCTGTAAAATCAGTATTCTTAGATTCAATGCATTTGCTATACTTGGGAGTAATGAAATGGATATTACATAAACTGCTCGGGACAAAAAGAGTTGATCGTAGATGCAAAATTTCTCGTCCAAAAAAAATTCTTTTAAATTCTACCTTAAAAATATTTACTAGATTTGTGCCTAAAGAGTTTCAAAGAAAAAAGTTTGAATTAGATGCGCTAAGTAACTGGAAGGCAACACAGTTTCGTTTCTTTTTGCATTACTGTGGTGCTTTGGTGCTACGTAAATGCCTTTCTAAAAATATGTATCATCATTTTCTACTATTAGTAGTTGCGTGTAGAATACTTTGTGATCCTGAACTATGCACTACCAAAGTCAACTATGCAAGACAATTATTGAAGAAGTTTTTTGAGCTTCTTCCTTCATATTATGGAACAGATTCACAAGTGATGAATAATCACAACCTAATTCACTTGGCAGACGATGTGGAACACTCAAAAATTAATTTATCTAAAATTTCAGCATTTCCGTTTGAAAATTGTCTCGGTAAAATCAAACGACAGATTGTTGGAAAAAATAATCCTTTGGCTCAGTTGATTAGAAGAATGTCTGAACAGAAAACATGTCCACTAACAGCTAAGAAGAATGCTATACATAAAAAAAATTATCTTACTGTTAACCCTGACATTTTACATACAAATAAGAACAATGTTAAAAGTGTTATTTTAAATGGAGTTAAATTAAGTAATTTTAGACCCAATAATGTTGTTTTACTCAAATCAGGTGAAATTTTTAATATATTTAGAATAAAAAAAAAACGGGAAAGTATTTGTTTGTATGGGTTTACATTCAGTACTATCTCAGATGTTTTCAAATATCCATGTAATTCAACAGAAGTGGGGATCATGAAATTGGGTAAATTATCAAGAAGGAAAAAAATTATTCCTTTAGAAAATGTACACAAAAAATGTGTCTTCTTTGAAAATGGCCATAGCAGTTTTGTAGTTACTTTTCTTCATAGTTCATAAACATTACTTTTACAAAAATTATTTTAGTTACTTACCTACTATTATTTACTACTTATTCTATTAAAAATAGTGTTAAGTCAATAATGTTTTACAATATATATTAATACCTTATATTGTTAAATATTTGTTTTTTTTTTTTTTTGTTCTTTAATTAAATTTTTGTGTTATGTAAATGTTAAATTTATGTTTTCAGTTTTATAATTTTTTATTGATCTGACAAATTGTTATTATAGATATGGATTATAAGAAAGATATAACACATTTCATAATTAAATTTATGGAAAACAACAAATATGGTAAAGCAAATATTGACCTAGTATCAATATCGTGGACCTATTATGTGGAAGGCAAATTGTATTGCAAATATCCGAAAAAAAAAGATTACCATAAAATAGATAAAATGAGCAAAGTTTCATCTATTTATGGGTCTTTGTGGAAAGGTTATGAAGTGAATGTGATTAAAGAAGTTCGTGAGTATTAAATTTTGATTTTAATTTTAAATTTTGAACGGAGTTGTATCAATGTATTGATTTTACAATGAAGTGGTTTTTTTTTTTTTTGTCTGGGGACAAGATTTGGAGCAGTAATAGTGCTACAATCTTAAAAATCAAGGGTGGTTATGTATAATATAAGCACATATTTTCTCATTAATAGCTTGATCTCCAATATGGTATTTTAGGAAATTACAATCAGGGTCTCAGAAGAATGAACAGGGCATTCTCAGACACATTAGTTCACAGCAGCAATGTCGATGATCAATGTAGTAGTCAAGAAGAAGACGACCCTATTAATCTAAGTGGAGTTGAACTAAAAAATTCTCTAAAAAATATACCTCCTTTTAATGCTGCAGAAGAAAAAATAAATGGTAATTGGCCTTCACGTATAATCATAAATAAAGAATAATTGTACTGAATTTATATTTCAAAAACCATGTCTAAAATAGATAACGGTAGTGTGCAGTCTGGGATGTCAACATCATCTGATTCATTTTCAATGACTTCCAAGCAAAAAAAACCTAAGAAAAAGTCCTTGAGAAGCATTGCTTTTTCTAGTAAAAATGACGATGCCATAGTTGTAGAGAACAGTGATATAAATGGTAATTAATTTTATTTATAATATAATAACCTAATGAATTTATACTTGAATAATTATATTTAAAATAGATGATGATGATGTGCAGTCTGAGATTTCAACATCATCCGATTCATTTTTAATGACTTACAAGCAAAAAAAACCTAAGAACAAGTCCTTGAGAAGCATTGCTTTTTCTTGTAAAAATGATGATGCCATAGCTGTACTGGAGAGTGATATAAACGGTAATTTATTTTAACTATGGGCAAATCTTTTGAATATGTGCAATTTCTTTGGATATCAATATTTCTGAATTTATGTCTATCTAACAGATAATGATGGTAAGATACAGTTCAATCTTGCTCAATCATCTCAAAAGTCTACAACCAAAAAAAAATCTATGCCAATTACCAAACCAAATCATAATAAATGTAAGATTTTTAACTTATAAAATGTTTCAACATAACAAAACTATCACCTTATATCATTTTCTTACAGTTATAATTATAATTTTGTTTATAATGTTTTTAAAAATGTAGCTTTAAACATTGAAAAGAAGAAACAGTGCCCAACATGTGGTTGTACATGTGCAACAGGTATATTTTCAGTCAAGTTCTTAAGGCATTCTTATAAAAGAGATATTAAATATTCTTAGTTTCAACTATGGCTATTCTAAGACTTTCCTAAAAAGTATACAATTAACTGTTACATGTATTTTTAAATTCTATCATGCTTAAATAGTTTTAAGAAAAATTAGCAAGATTGTACATACAGTGCTTGAATTAGGACAAAGTACCTCATATTTTTTAAAACTATTTTAGCATACTACTTCTAATTATATTTTAATCAATACGATTAAGTATCATTGCATGTATGCTCATTATTTTTTCACTTTTGTATCTCTTCAAATTTTTACAATACCAAGCTCATTATAATATATTACTTTATAAGTATACTTTTTAGTGATTATCTACAAAAAAAAATTATTTGTTATGCTACTTACCAATTTCACATAATGTATTTTTTTTTAAATTAGGTATGCCACCTTCAGAAACTTATGTTTCAAAAGCAAATTTAGAATCAGTCAAAAGAAGCTTAGAATATAAAATCACAGAAGAGGCCAAACAAACAAGGCACTTATTTGCATCCCACAATAATATAGGAGATATTAACATAATCATGCAAGAAGAAAACTTAGATGACATGCCCAAATTAAACTTAGAAGATTTCCAACAGTTCGATAACGAATTAAAAAATAACTTGGAGTTGATAAAAAAGCTGGTAGAATTACTACTGAAACTGCACAGTTTTATTTGATTTGTAAATCTATTTTTTATTTTTTAGAAATGTTTTATGTTGATTACCATTAAAAGTGGAGATAAATTATCTGAAAGTTTAAAAGCAGTTATTCCGAGAATAATTTCGAAGGAAGTACAATTATTATATAGTGCTTTTGGGAGGGAAACTAATGGAAGCAAGAAACTGAACTTTTCTGGGACACAATCATACAAATACTTATTAGGTATATAATATTGTTCATATTTTGTATTTTATTTTTTTAAGTGTTATTTATTTTTAATTTCAGAAACCATTACTACCAAAGACCCTAATTTAAAACTAAAGGATATTTCAAGCCAACTAAGCCGTTGGTTTTCGGGTGCCAAGGACCGTGAAGGTGGAAAGAAAGAAAGGATATTTAAGAAAATGAAACACAGCCTTAGTAGAGAAGATAAAAGTGATTAAAATATGTTAATTGTATTTTAAAAAGGTGTTGTTTAATAAAGATTTTGAAAGAACAAAATTGAATTATACTTTATAAATTATTTATATCTTAGAAACACTAAAGATTGATCACTAACAACATTTTATTTTTTGAACTAGGCGTAAACATGCTAAGTTATATATTAATTTGGAAATTGTATTCAACTTTTTTATAGTTACCTACTATATTCTACCCATTTTATAACATATTTTTTTATATTTATACATACATAGGAATAGATATTAATATATTTATCATTGTTACATTGCATGTTGGCACAAATACATAAACTGACAATTATAGATTACTAAAAATATATTATAAAATATTTATATAAGTTTCATTAGTAAGGGCAAGCCAGCACAGAACCAGCAATGGTAGACCAAGTACAGAATATTATTGCGCCAGTAATATTACTTGGTACTGTACCAGTAATATTACTTAGTACTGCACCAATAATATTATTCAGTACTGGTCTAAATCTGCCTGCCAGTAATATGCCAGCATTAGCCAGTACTGGCACAATGGTTCGCCAGTTGCTAGAAAGTACTATTCTGGTACTAAATGTCAGTACCAGTCCAGCACTGAAAGTCAGTACTGAGAGTCAGTACTGAATACTGTTATCACCCCAGACATATACCAGTACTGGTGCCATACTGGCTGCCAGTAGTGTGCCAGCATTAGCCAGTGCAGGCGCAATGCCGCGCCTGTTGTGGATTTCCGATTGGGAAGTCGTGTCATGACTATGAAAATATGTGCCATAGATAATTTCAAGAAATTAAACATGCTGGCCCATACCAAGAAAATCCATTAGAATACTATAATGCGTCTCCGTCTCTATTTTCCACGGATGCGTCTCCATTTATATTTCCACGGATGCGGGGCCCTACATATTTCCACAGATGTTTCCAGTCAAAATAAAAATCGATATCAACCATATTCGGAGTATAGTGCTATCTTTTAGTTTTATTTATTTTCATTTATAATATTATGAAATAATTACTCACCAATAAAATCTGAAAACTTTAATTCGTCAAATATATTTTTATACTGTTCTATACTAACTATGTTAGATTTCGCTTGATTAAGAATAATTAAAGTTCTTTTATGTACCATTTTATTTAAATTTAAATATATTAAAAAATAATAAAAATTTTATTAAAATTATTATAACCAATGACGAACTCAAATGTACAGTGTACAGGTGGTTTTTAGAGAAATATAAAAACTACCATATATAAAATAATAAAAATTATATTAAAATTATTATAATCAATGACGAAAAATAATAAAAATTTTATTAAAATTATTATAATCAATGACGAACTCAAATGTACAGTGTACAGGTGGTTTTTAGAGAAATATAAAAACTACTATATATAGAATAATAAAAATTTTATTAAAATTATTATAACCAATGACGAACTCAAATGTACAGTGTACAGGTGGTTTTTAGAGAAATATAAAAACGGACAAAATAAAATACGTCTTCACTCAAATCACTCCAACCGTGGACAGTGAAACAGGTGTTTTCGATGATTTGTATTTCGTAGCTAATCGACGATTACTTATCATAATATATAATTTATGTGTTCTCCGATAAAAGCTTTGCTAAAGGGGATTTACTAAGGGGATAAACCGTTTACTACGTGGAACATTTATATTTATATATTTTTGGCACACAATTAAAGTGAAGCACAAAGTCTCTAACTGGTTTACTATCTGTGTCATGACCTTATGTCCGTCGTCAATATGTCTATTACAGCAATGAGATCAAATGTCAAAAATGTAGCTAGGTATTACAGTTATGGACGGTACAAAGTACATTTTTAGGATGATTTTTCCTACTATATGCAAAAGGAACTAAGTGCATTTCATGATATCCGTGTATAATCGTTGTGGTTAGTCTGAAAGTCGTTATAAATCACGGTTTTCGACTTAGGGTTTTGAAAGTGGTATCAGTACATTTCTATGTACTTCTAGTATCGTCCTATGGGGGTTTCGAAGACGACAAGTCCAAATTACGGCCGCCCTGGAGGTAAGTATGGGATTTACCGCTGGTTTTGACTTAGAGTCATGAAAACGGTACGAGTGCATTCCTCGTTACCTCCACTATCAACCCTTAGTGTTTTTGAGAACAACAAGTACAAATAACGGCCGCCAGGGAGGTAAGTTTGTGATTTATCGCTGGGTTGCAACCAAAAAAATCATTTTCTCAGTTATAAGTCCTGGACACCGTAATTCTGAATTCTTATTTTTGAAACTTGTACACCAAGTAGCCAGCGATTATATCTATCTAACAATGTGCTTATGAACCGCACAAGGCCAATTAACGAGCACCCGGGAGGTGAGTTTGAAAATTTATCGCTCGGTTGCATTGCAATCCGGCAGCAAGGAAGCTATGCCCCAGTTAAAAAAGTCGTATAAAATCAGGGTTTTGACTTAGAGTCATGAAAATGGCATGAGTGCATTCCTCGTTACCTCTACTCTGTCATCCATTAATATTTTGAGAACAACAAGTACAAATAACGGCCGCCAGGGAGGTAAGTTTGTGATTTATCGCTGGGTTGCAACCAAAAAAATCATTTTCTCAGTTATAAGTTCTGGACACCGTAATTCTGAATTCTTATTTTTGAAACTTGTACACCAAGTAGCCACCGATTATACCTATCTAACGATGTGCTTATGAACAGCACAAGTCCAAATGACGGGCACCCGGGAGGTGAGTTTGAAAATTTATCGCTCGGTTGCATTGCAATCCGGCAGCAAGGCAGCTATGTCCCAGTTAAAAAAGTCGTATAAAATCAGGGTTTTGACTTAGAGTCATGAAAATGGCATGAGTGCATTCCTCGTTACCTCTACTATCATCTCTTATTATTTTGAGAACAACAAGTACAAATAACGGCCGCCAGGGAGGTAAGTTTGTGATTTATCGCTGGGTTGCAACCAAAAAAATCATTTTCTCAGTTATAAGTCCTGGACACCGTAATTCTGAATTCTTATTTTTGAAACTTGTACACCAAGTAGCCACCGAATATACCTATCTAACGATGTGCTTATGAACAGCACAAGTCCAAATAACGGGCACCCGGTAGGTGAGTTTGAAAAATTAACGCTCGGTTGCATTGCAATCCGGCAGCAAGGCCCATGAGTTCACAATTTGAAATATAAATACATTAAATAGTTGTTATAAATTAAATATTTACATTTTGTAATATACATTTCTCACATACCTTGGTCATTGGCAAAATTATTACTAAGTATACTGGCAGCCATTATTAGTTCAAAAAATACGTATTATCCATCTTAAATTGGCTTTTCTTAGTATAAGTTTTTATTTTTATCAAAATAATGGTAAATAATGTTATAATTGTGTACTGAATTTTGAAAAGTAATGGATTTTGTTGAATACGAGTGTATAAGAATAGGAATTTGATGATTATTCCATATTATGAATTGCATCTAATTTTTTTTCATATAGTGTAGTTTAGTAGTGTAAAAGAAGTGCTGAATTAACAAGTTCTGTTGATTGTGTTTATGTATAGTTAACCTACTTATATTATTATAAGATCTATTTAAGATTTGAAAGTAAGCTATAAATATTATTATAGTTATTGCCCAATTAAACCCAAAGTTATTAAAATTTAAATTATTACTAGCTAAAATATTACAGATTAAAACAATGGTTGGATATAACAATAAAGCGTTATTCAAATATAGATAAGTTATAAAAAACATAGATCATCGACACTTTTTATTAGTGTCTTTTTGGTCATATCGTCTTTTTTGCAGTAGATTCTACCATTCCTTGTCCAGATATATCGATATCCAAGTTCTTTTGCTTTTGATCTAGTCACCCAAAGCAGTTTCCTATTGTAAGCTGTTGAGCTTTCAATGATATATATTCTTGATACTTTGAATTCAATTTTTCCCCGTTTCCTAATGAATTCATCTATTTTTTTTTTTTTGGAAGAAAATTCTATGACTATTTGAGGTGCTACCAAATTATGATTTGATTATTGTTTGACTATTGTTTCAACATTTTCATTATTTTCCTTTTTTACACCACTTATTTCTAGATTTTGTATTATGCCGTCTTTTTCTTTTTAAGTTTTTATGAGTTCTAATAACCGGTTACTTAGGATTAAGAGAGTATCATTAGTAGTTATCTGGTTTTTAATAAGTTCGTCTAATGTAGTGGTTATAGCTCTGGTGGCTAAATCACTGTTCATATAGATATTTGAGTCACTTCTTGTTTGTGATATACTTTTGATGGGTGTACTTTCTCCTCTGTATTGTTTAAGTTTTTTTGAGAAGTCTTCACAATTGAATGCCATCCCATTTGATTTCATAAGGTCCAAGGATTCCCACATTCGTGTTAGAGCATTTCATATGTAATACATGCTTACACGTATTACATTGAATACTGACCTCATTTCACGAAACTGTCAAATTGCATTTCGAACACGTTGTCATACTTGGACAATTAATTAACAAAACACGACTTAGCACAATGACCGAACTGAACTCGAACTGAATATGGTAGGTTAGGCACCCACTTTTTATTTTTTTTTAACTAAGTTATAGTTAAACTTCAATTTTTTTATGCTAATTTAGTAATTTATACTGCGTGCCTATAGGTACTAGATTTTTTTCAGATTTAAAAAATTAATAGGTATTGAAGTCATAGGAGGCTGGGAAAATTCAAAATCTTACTCAATACACCAACACTACAAACACAAAGTATCCTCGACTTCTACCACGTAGCAGGAGCCACGTAATGGCAATTTTATTTGCTCTAATTGAAATCAATAACTTATATTTGGGTATATGGTGTAGTGACTGTTATAAATTACAATCACAGTAAGGTATTTAATAGGTATATTTTCAGAGATACTATAGACTACAAGACAAATGAATATTTGTATTATATATTTGATAAACTACCCGAAAAAGTAGGTAGTCATAAAGAATCTATTATAAAGGGGTTTGGGCCGTTTAGTTTTGTAGAGTCCACTCCTGATTATAATAGATATAAATCTCAATATAAATCAAGGTGTATTGATGAGGTGTCGTCACTTGTTTGAAAACTTGATTGAACATTTTAATACAGAAAGTCATCACAACCGGGAGAGCTATATGTCCTAAAGAGGCCGATAAACAAACACTTTTGTACACCAAAGCCATAGAAAATTGAAAATATATTATGATATAAGAAATTAAATTCAAAATTTTTCATTGCATAATGACTTCTATGCTCTAAATTATTTGTTTGCATGTATTTAAATACTTTCTTTTTATCAAATACAATTATTAATATTATTAAATATTGTCATTTTTAAATCTCCTATTACCAAAAAAATATATGAAAAATGTAAGAGTTAATTAACTAAATTATCATAGGTACATAATGATTTCAAAGTGTTACAATTAAAAAATAATAATTATCAATTGTTAATTAATATATTGATTTTAAATACAATTCATAATAATGTTGATAATGAGTAATACTAGTATTCATAATACCTATGTGTTACCAAAATGCGTATATTTTGAATACCTTTTTATAAGCATTTATTATTCAGTTGTACCTTTCACCATTGATTTTATTATATATTCATAGTATTTATAGTATATTATAAAATCAATGCTATTACTAGTTCTTGGGACTTCTAGGAGTTTGAATGTTTTTAAATAATCATTAAAAACATAGCTAAGTAATATAAAAATTTGTTTCATGGCAATACGAGTTTAAATTTAAAATTTATAGTTGAATATTTTGCATATTTGACCATTTTTCATTTATAAGTGCATATTTGACAATTTTTCATTTTATAAGTGCATATTTGAAAATTTTTTTTATTTCCTGGACCTGAGATATAATAAATATTTTAAAATATTCGCAGTTTACTTTGACCAGGTGGGTACATGGATAGGTAGATGTGACTTAATAGTTTATACTATTATAAACATTTCAAGATAACTAAACAGGTGATTGATATGATGGATGAAAACGATGCAGAATCTATTAACAAATGTAAATAAATATTAAAATCAAATAATTTGGAAGCAAATTTAGCTTTTATTAGTTCGAATTATGGATTTATTTCTTCATCTATCACTTGACTTGAAACCCAAGGTGTGACCCAAAATGAATCCATTAAAATAATTAAAACTACAAAAGAACATATACATTCTGCAAAAATTTAAGGATCTGCACAAGCTATAGCAATTGATGACATAATCAAAAAAGTTTAGGAGAAATATTATTATTATTTATTAATTATTAGTTATTAGTTTATTACAAATATATATTTTTTTAAATGCTTATTTTATTAGCATATTTAGTGATTCTTTAGGGCATAAATGCATGCATATTTTAAGGTTTAGGATTTAGGGCATGATATCCCTAGCCCTAGGCCCTAGCTATTACCTATATATTATTATATATTAACCGAGATGCTGGGGATAGAAACATACGAGGAAACATATCTATATGCTAAATGGTTGATAGATTGATATGGTCATCGTAGATCAGTGCTTATTTTCTTTAGACTTTAAGCGTTTATGGAAAAAGTTTAAATACCTACTTAAATTTTAATACTATTATTAATATTTTTCAAAAGTATATTAAAACATTAATTTACAATACATGTTGGTAATTTATCAATGTGAAATAGTAGGTACATGTAATTTAAGTATATAGCTAATTTAGAAAAAACAATTAATAATTTTGATTAAGGGGCCTTGACAGTTTTACATTAAATTTAGGGAGCCTCAAGACAAAAAAAATTTGAGAAGTACTGAACTAGATTATACTGAAACTAGCTGTCCTGGTTTTATCATGTTTGTAATGTTGCATTTCAATTTGAAAACTACATATACATTTTTCACTGTTTATTTTTCTAACATTATTTAAAGCTATTGAAGAAATATATAAACAAAATTTTTGACAAAGGTTGGTTGCTCAATACACAGCCAAATATTAACCAAATATATCATAAAGCATTAATGCATTAAATCAAAACAAGAATGATAATAATTTGCAAAAGAAAAAAATGAGCAAGGTAGGTACTAAAAACAAGAAAACACCAAAAAAACTAAACAATTTTTCAAAATTAGTTTGAAGTTTATAAAATAACTATTATTGAATACTATATTAATATTAAAATATAAATAATATAGGTACCTAATAAAATATTTTAAACATGTTTTTAAAGTTTTGTATGAGCACTAGATAATAATACTCCACTCTACCAGACCACTATTAAAATTAGGAGCAGAATCATAATAGTTTCAATTGAATTTAAAGATTTTAAGAAGGATGCAAATATCCAAAGAAGTTTACATCATATTTTATAATTGATGGCTTCTCGATAAAAAATATTGCAAATGATTAAAATGCAAATTTAATGTATAATTACAGGCTCCAATTTATTATGACAACTCGATTAAAAAAAAAACTTCATATATTTTTGCAAATGCTAATTTCAATTTGAAAAAAAAAATAGCATTTTAATTCTTAAGTTTTAAGACATTTTGCATTTAACAGTATGAATACATAGGCCTTCATAGGACAGGAAGCGCGCTCTGGTGACTATATAACTGTGGTAATATTTTGAATTTTCAATCCAGAGTGTATACGTATAATAGGGGTGCAGAGTGACGACACCTTGCAATACACCTTGGTGTAAATCAGATCCAAAAAAATAATACAAAATACCCATCGCATGTCTCGTGGTATAAAAAAATAAACAAAGTGTTGTGTACACAGACTTATATACTCAATAGAAAATAGAAATCTGTAGTTGTGTACGACCTGATACGATGCAATGATGGCAGGACCTGGTGATGGTGCTGTTGTCCCGGAGCGATGGTTGATCGGCAGACGACACTCGGACACTGGCCCTCGCGCCGAAAATTACGAAATGGTAGACGACACCGAGTACTTGCGTCCGGTGGTCGACGGTGGTATGGAGGCGTCGGAAATAGATCGAAAATTGGACGACGCGGTCAAAATTAAGTTTGGTACTCACGACATTACTTTGTATTGTGAAACCGTCTCGCGTGGGCGTCCGTTATCGCGGCACAGACGACAAAAATTTAATACGTCACGGCCGTTAGCACGACATTGCGGACATTGGCGGACGGACGGAAAACTCGCGGGCACGTGTGTATGCGCACGGCGAGAATCGGACAGGCTAATAAATAACAATAAAATATAAGTCGCGGTCGGCGAGTTCGCACCATAGATATTATAAGAAGTCTTATAATATCTATGGTTCGCACTGCGTAGAACGGATGGGTGAAAAACAACACGTGGACACGTGGGTGACCACGGCGAAAAATCGGACGGACGATGAAAATTAATAAGCGGAACACGAATCGCGAACACAAAGTCGTGTGCGACGAGTTGGTGAGCGCGAGGGCTCGGGTGCACGGAACAAATAATTATGGCGGTATTCGCTATAGTAAAAACACACACGACAAAATTACCAAGGTAGCTTGGCGGCTGAAAAACGACAGAATACATAGCGGCGGGTACCGATATAGCTGGAGGCTCGACTGTAGCGAGACCGTCCCCCACTGCGCTCCAGAATAGCAAACGTTGCGACACGGGACGTGACGGTCGCGTCGCGCGAAATTCAAATAATCGTTTTGGCGGCCCGCGTACCATTTTTCACGGGCCCGTGCTACATTTCAAATTAGTTTATAAAAATATAAAATGATAGGATTTTTCTGTATTTTATTTTATTATATTTATGTACCTGATGGATATTGTGATATGATTAATTTGGAACTTAGTATAGGTACCTATTAAATTTCAATTTTTTTTTAATACCATAGATAAGTATATAGTATGTCTTATACCTAGACTAACCGTTTCCGCTCAGAATCATTTTTCTTATACAATGATATTATTGATATTATATCATTGAATTCAAATTTAATGCCATCAATTATACAGTGACCCACTTGTAACCTACTGTACAGCAGAGCACCTTTTTTATAAATAGGTTATTAATTTTTTCATTTTAAGCTATTCACAAAATGAATTTTTTTTTTAATTTAATTCTCGTTCTGATCATCGACGTGACAAGGCGACAGTGTGCTGCCTGTCCTGAAATATAAATCTATGCTACATGACAATCCCAGAAATTTTTAATTTGAAACATTGATCATTTTTTAACTTCATATTGATAAGGCCATAAGGGAGGGCCAAGCGGAGACATCAAACAAGTATTATTTTTTTTTTTTTTAAATATTATTGGAACTAAAAAAAAGTTACACAAATATTTTATTCATTTTATTTAACAGCTACTAACAGTCTGATCAATATATCTAATATATAAATGTGAAAATGAAAACCTTTGAGTGATATGTTCTCGGAAACTACTGAACCGATTGTTATGATTTTTTTTTTAAATTGAATAGCTCATTGCGAAGGTTTATGGCTTTTGATCGATTCTCTAACTTTAAAAACAAAGAAGTTATCAATTATCATAAATAATGACCAGTTACGTAGACTGGGTGGGTGAGGTTCGCGGTACGGCAACGAAAGCGTACATGTCCGTAAATAAATAAATATTGTCATGGTAATGTTGTTTTATTATATATTATAATATATATATATATATATATATATATATATCTGTATATATAAAACAGTAAGCTGATTGACTGCTATCAACGCACAGCTCAAACCATTGGACGGATCTGGCTGAAATTTGGCATACAGATAGCTATTATGATGTAGACATGCACTAAGAAAGGATTTTTCGAAATTCGCATTTTAAATAGGTGCTCAAACAGGGTCATTGAGATTCAAGATGGAAATTGGAAATTTTATTTTTATTTATTAATAGTTGCCATTGGTTACAGTCTACATTAGAAATTAGCATTTATTTATTGGTTGCCATTGGTTATTCGGGCAGATCAGGTACAAGCTTGCATCAAATCAAATTATTGAACATTGCTTACCAGGGTGGCTGAGTTGCACTTACCCCAGCAAGTTACACCCAAAAGGAGTTCAACAATCATAATTTTTTTAAGAGTTGTGATTTTTACGAGCAACCAAATTTGTTATATTAATCCACCGTATTATATCAAAATAAACTTGGTATAACTTTGATAATTTAGAGTTAAATCATACACTTCCGTACCAACAGCACGGGGTCCGCGATCTACCGCAGGTAGATTGCCTACCTGATAATGTACTGCTGCGATTCAGAATTTTTATTCCGGGCAACGGAAAAGATAAGATAAATTTTGAACACCATACACCGAATATTGAATAACGAATTGAACAAAGTTTGAGTCATAACTCATATTGAGTTGATACATTTAAAGGGCGACGAAGTGCACGGGATCAGCTAGTATATTATAAATGTATAACACGACACTTTATAATGTTCTTTTCCTAAACATTTTGGATGATTCCGAATGAAAGGTGCTGGTTCAGCTGCTGATTAACAAATCAGAATAAACAAACAAAATGCTAATTACATAATTAATTATATTATATTTCATTAACAATTAACAGTATAAATGAAAATAATATTATTGATACAAAAAGTATATTTTTAAATTAAAACATTATAAATTAAATTTACAAAAATTGCAGTGAGAATCATAATTAAACCTAAGTGGAAAAATACAATGTTAGTGAAATAATAAAATGTTATAAAGGTATATTTCATTTTTACACAAATAATTTTAAAAATAAAATAAGAAAGAAAAGCTTATTAATAATGAAGAAAACCATGGGTATATAAATGAATTAATATTTTCAAAGGTTGAAATTTACAATATAATAATTACTAATAAAATATATTTTTAAAGTTAATATTATTTATGATACATTTTTTATTTAAATCATTCAGTTGAACAAAAAAATATCGGAAAAAAATAAAGATTTAAGCTTTTACAAAAGATAATATGCTCTCTCTCTCTCTCTACACATATATACACATATACGATGTTGTAAATTCTTGTAACTAATTGATTTTTTTCGCTTTTTTATAAGCCATGTCATAATTGATATATTGTGTCATAACTGCAGATAGTACAAACTCGGAAGAGTAGATACCTAAAATGAGAATAAATAATTACTATTTGTTACATGTTAAAAAGGGACAAAAACAAGGCGTTAAATGTAGTTTGGTATAACATGTGACTTACATCAAAATAAAATCGACCTACTAATATAGTACATAATATCGACAATGAGATAGTGTTTATCATATCTGTGTATAGGAATCAAATAATATAAAAAATAATGATGAAAGTAACAAATCCAGATAAGTTGGAGATTATAGCAATTATAGGGTAGGTATTTTAGTTTATTGGTATTTATTTGTCATAAGAAACCGGGTTTCTAACTTAAATGTAATAAGGTTTGTATTAATAAATTGTTTAACACATACCTATGTGTTTACTAAAACTATTGATACAAAACTTTAGAAGTAGAAAAAAAAATATTGGTTTGTTTTGTTAAAAAAATATTCGTAACAATTGTAGACATTTTCTTGCGAAATAATATTCTGCAAGCATTATGCAGTGTAAATTGTAAATTTGTAATACATTAAATAATAATTCTAGAGAAAGTATATGTATCAAATGGCATTTGTTGTTTCTTAACATGTTAACATGTAGGGTATACAAACTCAAACGACAGTAAAAAAATCAAAGACTAGTGCCCTGTATTATTAATCTTCATTTAAGTTAATGTTGAACCAGAAATTTGATTAAGATGGTCATACTAAATAAATGGTTGTTTAAAAAATTTTAGTAGGACATTTCCTTCTTATATAGCCACCCCACTCCCCTTCCACGCAGTTATATAATATTATGAGAATGAGATGTTGTTTTTATTAATTTGTAAAAAAGGATCTTGATACCAAAGATGACCATTATATTACATTTAACACTTCAAAAAATGTGACATAAACATAAACGTCAACCAATTTAAATTAGAACCATAATATGCTTAACATATTATCAAGAGTTCTAGAACAATAAAATTAGACAAATATAAAAGTTAATTGGCTTTTAAAATATTCAAATAAATGTTTAGCATTTGCTCACCATAAGATGATCGAATAAGATCAGAAACCAAATGAAGATCATTATTGGATGCGATTACGATATAAGTGTTAGGTTCAAGTTCTTGTATAGCTCTCAATGATCTTCTTTGTTTTTCAACAGTTCCACCGGCTGATTCTATTATTTGCCGAACAATAAATACAGATGGATGAGTAACTCCCGGAGTCACATAAAATATCTTTCCTTTGAATAATTCATGTCGATTTGGATTAGATAATATTTTATGTACTTTACAAATTACTTTCTGATCTACAGAAACTTCTTCAATCGTATAAATTGCTTCGCCTAAATTGTATTAAAACATATAAAAATAATAACATACAGTCGTTTATTATAATTCAGTGTACCTAAAAACATATGCTGAGTACTAGAATCCTTAAGCCATTCGGCACTAACAATATGTTTAACAGTTGAAACGCAACATAAAAATTTTGTAGTTCTAACAGATTCTTTCATTACTAAATGAGTAGCATCTGAATAAATTTTAGCAATTGTGCCACCAAGTTGTAAGACCATCTGCAAGAAAGAATGTTAAATATTTACTGTAGTAATTACACATTTTAAAATATTTCAAATAATAATATAGTTTACCCGTTGTTCTTCTTTTCCCAAGCCAAATCCAGAAAGCATGACACATGGACGATATTCTATTGGTGGTGGGTTAATATTTGTAATGATTATATCAGCTGTACTTAAATCATTATTTTCTTGGTCTGGAAAATTAGCATTTGGTCTAGGCCGTTTTCTTTTAATGGGAACATGATTATTACGTACTCTGTCATATGATTCTTGGGTAACGTTAATTGGCATTTTCCATGCCCCTATTATACACAATGTCAATATTAATTTAAAAAAAAATAATTATTGTATCAATAACTGTCAACCAATTCATTGAAATTCTAATTGCTTAACCACTTTATAAATATTAGAAGTGTCTTACCCATTAAGTGAAGTACCAGGTTATAGTCAACCCTGAATGGATTGTTTAGATTGAATTGTTGATACTTGACATTCTCTGGTTGATACATACACGATAAATGACCAAAAAGAATTTCATTTAGCCACTGCACATTGACCACAGGTCGATTAATATCTCTAGCTTTTTTAACTTTTTTACCTTCTAATCTAAAACCATTAAACCACAATTTAGGAATTTGGTAAACATATAAAAATAAATATAAATCAACATAACTATTTAAATAGTAAATGTACAATGTACATACTTTCTTGTAACTAAAATATTGTTGTCAGCAGAAAAGTAAGATGTAACACGAGCACCAGTCAATTCTATCATAAATTTAACACGATTGCGTTCATCACTCTCAAAATTTGTCAGTGATATCAACATCTGTCGGCAAGGTCTCTCCTCACTGTACGGAGTAGGAAAATGAAGGGCATACCATGGAGGCATAAGTTGTTGTTTGGTTATTATATCACTAAGCCAGTAGGCTGTAATACATCTTTTTCCATCACGTAAACCCTAATAACATATTTAACAATGTTACAATTGCTAAAAAAAAAAATAGTTATAACTTTTAACTAATTACACTACCTGTTGAACAAGAGGATGTTTTTGAGTTTGACAAAGAATATGTGTAAGACGCAGGGTGTAAGATGGTTCAATTTCTCCACCATGGTCCAGAATGATTTGTTTCCAAGTAGGTACTTCTTTTATGGTATCTGGACATCGATCATATTCAACAATCAAAAATATACAACCAAGCAAACACTTGTCGGGCGGTACTAAATATTAAAAAAAAAAAATGTCTTAATCTTATTTGTATATGATGATGGTACATTTTAAATACATTTGAGATTTGGATTGTGTCCGAAAAATCTAGCTTGATGAGGAAGTTGTTGATGACCAACAGTTTGTCCGGCAGCACTTTTTGCCAAGACTGCTGCAACTCTTACAGCAGCAGATTGGTTGTAGTTTGCTGGTACTGTTTTACTAGCAACAGCTGGTTGAACAGCTGCACGACCTACTACTTGAGCAGCACGGTTTGTTCCTGAATTATTGGTGACATTATTTAAAACTGTTCGAGACTATTTACAAACACAAAAAAGAATATATATGCATTAATTTATTTAGCATTACAATACAATACTGTTACATAGCTGTACTGGTAAAGTACCTGATATGTGCCTTGAGTACTGCCTTGTTGTTGTGCAGCATGATGTTGAGCAGTCATCAATCTTAATTGTCCTGCAGCACTAATTTCTTGTCCAGACATTTGCTATAAGTCATAAATTTAGATAAATAAATATATGCCATATATTTTTACATTACAAATTATATATAAATATTAGCATGTTATTTTATTGAATAATGGTATCAACTAGTATTGTTATAATTTGTTATAAACAAACTCATGCTGTAATAACAAATATTCATTGTATATTATATTAGCAAGTCATAATTTTTCTTTTAAACTAATAATATGATTAGATTTATAATGTAAGTCAGTAGATCTAGATAAACATTTTGTAATTGTATAATTATAAATTAGACTAAATTACATTAGCAACACCAAAAAACCATATTGAATTATAAACGATAAGTTTTGTTAAAAATTATATAAGATTAGATTAATAAGCAATAAAATTAATGTTTATGTTAAATTAGTACAAATATAATAGATATAGTTATAAAACAATAAAAACTGCTAGTATTAAATACAAAAAGGATGTCATTTATAGGATATTAATTTAAACATGGAAGTATCATAACTTCATAGTATGCTTAAATTGTCTTTAATATCCTAAACAATATTATCGATAGTGTAGATTAGAATGACCATGCATTAGCTCAATATTAGAAATCAACTGAATGAAGTTATGCACATAGAGATGTGTCTACGAAGACAAAATTCAAAACAGCGTTGGTCCATCGTGGGTTTACTTTTTACCTGTTGCTGAGTTGAAGTAGACGATGATATGCCATTTTGTAAACGTATACTTAACATATTAGCAAGCGCAGTTTTGGTCTTAGGGTTTACAACCAACGCTTGTTGATTTGATTGAGATGTTTGCTAGAAAAATATGATGATATTGATGCAATCATAATAGCAACAATATTCCATTTATCCAAAAATAAATTGGATATTTGTATGCATTAAATAAAACATAATATTACAATTAAACTGTATGGTTTTTATTTCACCTGAAATCGTAAGCTTAGTAACAAGATAAATTATAAGAAATTATTCAAAAGTAATATATTTTGTAATGTTTTGATTACATTGACATAGAATAATAGTGGATTATTATTCTAAAATTTAACACTAAAATTGTGATTTAAAAAATATATATGAAACAAACTACATGAGTTAAGATTTAATTGATTAAGATGGCATTTGTGATTATAATGAAAACTTTTGAGAAATTTAAAAACAATATTAATTTTGTTTAATTTCCAATAAATAGAGATGTGTTATCAAAATTATATTTTTAATATCAGAAGAGACAGCCCATAGAAGTTGAATGAATAATTTCCTTGCTATGAATCTAAATTTAAATTTAAATTTAAATTGATGAACTATTTTGTTAGATCTTACATGTATATACAAAAATCATCAATTTCAAAAATATATATACATATACCTCCACATATTAAGTATATATATAAATATATATTTAATAAGTAATACAAATAAAATAAACATATATTTTAATATATTTGTAATAAATAGAACAATATCAATATTAAATTTTTTTCTAAGGATTGAACTACATAACATTGGACAATATTTTGAATATTATGTATTATTTATGTTACAAAACATAAGAATATAATAATAACAATAAATAAATAATAAAAAACTAAGCTAAAATAGGTACATGTTATAATATAATGTAAATAAAATATAAGTTTTTTTTTTTATTGATCAAGCATTGGCAAGTATGGCCATTAGCATTTTGTAGGGAGGTTATGGTAGGTTGAGGGACATGTATAGGTGGGAGGATTCGTCACTAAAAACCCAGGTGCTCACCCATTCGGGAACTAGCGACGCTGGCCGATGCTTGACCTCAGAACCCATTAGTGACTGAGACCAACCATCGAGCCACACTAGGCCATAAAATATATTGGTATACAATAATTATGAGTGGAAGATATTTAGAAGTATTATGAAATTTAAATAGTAGAATGTAAAAAGTTGTCTGTTATAGAACTGCAATATCAAATTAAGAAATTAAGAAATGTACAGAATAATTTTAGATTTAATACACTATTAAGCATCAAAAGATCTTTGCAAAAATTATAAATCAAACAATAAATAATGTTGATATTATGCAACAAATTATTACCATTGTTAAGGAAAGTATGCTATTTTACAAAAAGAAAATTGCTGATGTTTGTAATATCTACATTGAATTATTACTTTAAATTAAAAATTAAAACATGTATTAGCTTGAACTTGTCAAAATAAATTATAGTGTATTATACAAAAATATACTTTGTGCATCATTCAGTTTTTGTTTTGTTATTAAGTGTTTAACACATCATACATTTTACAGGTTTCTATTAGACCAAACAATATCCATACAACTAATGTATAGGCATACAGTTTTAAAGAATTTATTAATAGAGGAGTATCATTAAAAAGTAAATATAGAAAACCTCAAACCAACATTTTATCAAGAACACCAAAATAATGTCCATCACCAAAAAGCAATCGCCCCAATAACATGTACACTTTTCCAATGTAAATAAAACAACAAATCAACAATGTACTTACTGGAAACGGTTCTTGACTTGGTGTCTGTGTTTCAGTTTGCTCATTTGTAGGTAATGTTGGAGTCTGTTGTGGCTGAACAATTGAAGTCTGGGCTGGAGCCACTTGAGGTGATTGTACAACATTTGGCTGCATCGTTCCAGCAATTGGTGCTTGGTTAGGAGCAACCTGATTAACAATACATGTATTTTAAAACATTATTTCAAACACTTGTTACTTCACCTTAGGACTTAGTTACCTGTTGTTGCATCGTTTGTTGTTTTTGCGAGGCATCCATTTGCAGTTGTTGTAGTCTCAACTGTTGAAGTTGTTGTTGTCTTTGATGTATTTGCGCCAATTGTGCAGCAGACATAGATCCAGTAGTTTGTTGATGTCCTATAATAATTTTTCCATCTTAGTAACAGATCAAAACTTAGACCTACTGGCTTCTACATCTACTATATTAATCGTATATTTAAATCGTACACAAGTTAAAATTTAATTAATTTAATTTTAGTTGATAGACTCAGGTTGAAGTTGAATATGAATAAATAATTTGATGCAAGATAAACCCACACAATGTAAGAAATTATTGAGAAAATTAGGAAATAATGACCTAAATATTCTAAATAGGTAGTGACAAAACAATATTAAATTTTAAATTTTAACATTTTGAAAATGCGATAATATTATAATATTATAGAACGAATTCTATTTAAAATATTCCTAATTGAATATTAACTAAAACGTTCTTATTCAAAAATTACAATTGCACATTTGTACCTATTAATAGTTAACACTAAATTTGATATTGTTTTAAAGGTTTACCGTAAATTTGTAATAAGAATTAGGAAAAACCAAATTTTTAGAATTGAACATTTTTGAAAATAAGGTTATAATATAATAATATAAGCAAACGCCAAACAGCTTCCAATGCTTCCATACCCTATTAATCCTATTAATACTATTAAGTATTAACCTAATCATTAAAATATTTATCTTGTTTTTTTTACAGTTGATAATAGACGTGTGTAGTACATCAGACCCATGGTAGTACATAATAATATTAAAAACATATACCTATTAATTTGATATTCTGAGTTATAAATTATAATATTTAAATTATCTACTGCTTACAGTATGTACATAACCAATGGTCGGTAGAGGTACCTATAGGTTAATCTAAGTTAATAACCTAAATATATTTGCTTGAACGCTTTGATAGATATTTGTCGGCTATCGCTAACAATAAATTAATAATAATATCAATGCTGGGAGTTTTTTTTTTTTTAATAATGTGTATGATTAACTAAATAAATATAAAATATTACTATTTACTATCTAATACCATTGATTATACATAGTATACATTAATAATCAATGCTAATACCTATATGGCTATGTGATTTTAGCAGATAAGGTCTTACAAAAGTTATGATATAAACAATTTAATTATCTTTTCTACGTATTTTCGTATACAGAGAATTATAAAAATAATAATATGTAATAATTAAAAATTGACTTGTATTCTATGTGTAGAACGTTTATTTTGGAATATATGGAAACTGCATTCAAGGAACGATATTATATTTGGAGTTAAGCGTGCAGTACTAAATTAAAATGTATAGCCTAAAGTGATTGATACACGGACTTTGTTGTCTCCGTCTTACAAGTGCGTAACATAGCAAATTTTACGCTCAGTAGATCACGTTTAGCTCCGCTGGTTTAAAATTTAGAGTGAATTGACCTCTTATAAAATGTTAAGGTGAGATTGTTACCTAGGGCAATTCATAGGGTTTTTGTTATATTTTAATGTTAAAGCGAGTTATGGGTATTAGATATAGATGTACAAAAAAATTTACAATTTTAAAATACCCATAACTTGCTTTAATATTTAAATATAACAAAAAGACTATAAAATGCCCTAGATAATAATTTTACCTTAATATTTTATAAGAGTTCAATTCATTCTAATTTTTAACCTATAACGGAGCTAAACGTGATCTGTTGAGCGTAAAATGTGCTTTATTACGCACTTGTAAGACGGAGACGACATAATATTATGTCCGTGTAACGTCCCCTTATGAACATTTGTTTTTAAATGAACATTTTATTCATAAATGTATTGGGAGTTAAACAAAAATTTAACTGCACTACAGAGCATAATTATGGTATTTACAAAATGTCGTAATTTTTAGTTTAACGGATCGGGCAGCGGTTTAAAAGATTTCCTGAACGGTGGAGCATAATATTAAGGGGACGTTGAAATTTGTTGTCTCCGTCTTACAAGTGCGTAACATGGCAAATTTTACGCTCAGCGGAACACGTTTATCTCCTGTTCGTTTAAAAATTAGAGAGAATTTACCTCTTGTTGTAACATTTATGGGTAAGATTATTATCTAGACAATGACATGGGCTTTTTATAATAATTTAATTTTAAAGCGAGTTATGCGTACTTTAAAATTGTAAACTGTTTGTACACCAATTATAATAAAAAGCCTATGTCATTGTCTAGATAGTAATCTTAGCTTTAAATTGTATTAGAAGTCAATTCGCACTAATTATTAAACTAACGGAGATATAAACGTGTTCTGCTGAGCGTAAAATTTGTTACGTTACGCACTTGTAAGACGGAGACAACAAATGTCACCGTCACTGTAATATTAATATATTAAGTTCTCAATACACATTTTCATATATGAGAAATAAATGAACTGCGTTTAATGATTAATGGATCCATTTCGTAGATAAGGGGTAACATTGAAGCTCACAGGTTAATGAGCAGGGTCACGGCACATACGGTGTACATACATTTGTTTATGATTCTGAAACACTTGAATTGGAGGTACAAACCGTTAAGTTTGTCTAATATTCGACGTAACAACTTGAAAATTGGCAGGAAGTATTGCCTGGCGAGTGGGGCATTAATGCATTGTAAGAACCGTACAGATTTACGAATTTCATCCGTCAGTGTTTCTCAACATTTGTACTGTGTCGACCCCTTCCATTTAGTTTTAATTTTTTAGCGACCACCACTACATATAATTTCTAATATAATCATATTTCTATAATAACTCGCATAGGCCAAAGATGATTATTAATAATCAATACCAGACGTTTGTGCATAACAAACACAAAATACTTCAAATATTATAATTATTTTTAATTTAAAGAAAAAAAAAGTATTTTGTTACAGTTATTTTATATTCATATCATAATATAAATACCAAATATGATTTAATTCTGATCCAAATATAATTGTTAATTTGAATTTTAACTTAACCAAATTAAGGTTTTTAAGAGGACGTGGTACCCACATTAATTGACGTCTCCGTCTTACACATGTACAACATACCAAAAACTGTTTTGTGCGGAATAACTTACTTCCTCTGTACTTATAGTAGAAATGCCCAAAATTGCAGGGTTAGAAAACGTTTTTCATTTTCGTTTTTGTTTTAAATCGCTCTTGCACGTTGAAACAAAATTAATAATTAGCAAGTAAAAAATAAAGATAAACACCGATAAAAAAAAAATGTACTGTTAACGATTATTATATAGTTATCAATTTTTCGATAGCAGAATTCGTTTATATTTTTTTCGGAGTATAATACCATCTATACTACTACCTGTTCTCTTTTTCACGAGAGAACGGTACCGTTTCGCGCATGTGTAATGATTCGATTGGTGCGTGGACGACCACGTGGTCACTCTTACAACTGATAGTTGGTGGGGGATGCGCGGCGGCGGACCCCTTTTGGTCGGCCTCCGGTACCCTTTTCTCGTGAAAAAGAGTATATATAAAATGAAATCGCTTTTTTTTTGTTCGGGATAAACTCCGAAACTACTTATTCGATCGTCGTGCTTTTTTTTTTAAATTAAAGAGGACATCACAGAGAAGGTTTTAGGCATAAATTTAGTCCGACCAAGTTAATAAATAATTAGTTATTATTAATTAAAATAAACGTATAAATTGTACACCTATGAAAAGGTTAGGTTAGGTTATATTATTGTATACGAATTGTGCGGCACGTCGGCCCGCGGGTTTCCAGCTACCTGTAACCTGACCTTTTTTCTTTTGTGTGTGTTTTATTGGTGAGTCGATAGAATGATTGTTCCAAGAAGTAAAATTCGACAAACTATCTATGTTATACTATTGGGAAAACAGATTAACACTGGGAGCGCTGTCGACGCCTATCGTACTGATGGTTGGGCGGGTTCCCCCCTACTTGAAGTCGGGACTCGAGTTGGGAGATTGTATGTATTTTCGCGGCATTTCGAATACATTTTGCTTTAAGTTAAAGTTAGCTATAAAAACGTATAAAGTTTCGATAGCAAAATTAATTTATTATAAAAAGTAAAATAACCAATATAAAACTATATCTATACATTCCGAATTGGAAGGTACAAATTGTTTCCACCAGAGCGCGGTTTGTTAATCTGTTTCCCCAATATGTATTTATCTATACAATATAAATTAAATAAATATTCCTTTGGACGCGGCATCACAACAGGACCGAATTCTTTTTTTGTAGTATTCGTAATTGTCAGGAGAAGGTTATTAAAATCTTAACTCTGAAGTAGGACCATTTTAAGAAAATCCACCCGAAAAGTAGGAAATCTGGATGCAGGTGCCATCTATCCAGTAAGAAAAGTGTGTTTTTCGACACATGCACATCGGAATATCAACGTGTTAACTGTTAATAAAATATTCGTAATTACGTACGCACTTCGAGGGGTCTGCAATCCACCGCAGGTGGATGCCTACCTGAAAACATTTGACATACAGAGTGTCTCAAGCATACAAAACATACAAGCGTGTCCCTCGGGTAATTATATAATCAAGATGATAGATGAAAATGTCCAAGATTTGAACGCCGTACACCGAATATTAAATAACGAATTGAACAAACTATGAGTCATATAGAGTTGGTGGTACATTCAACGGGAAACGAAGTCGATCACATTAAACGAAAACATTTGAATAAAAAATTATACATATCATCGTCCGAAGGCACAACAAATAACCAATCACGAGCGAAGCTGTAAAGGGTCGGCTAGTAATAGTATGTATAATAATATAATTTATTTCCGTTTTTGTTTTTGTTTTCTTAATTATATTTTTTCTGTTTTTGGGATTTTTCGTTATGGTTTTACAGTTGCCTTTTGTTTTTGTTTTTTATTTAATAATATTTTCTAAAAACGTTTTCCATCCCTGCAAAATAGGGAAGAACTTTATCTGTGACATCAGGTTTCAATTTTTTAGATATCACTAACCAATAATTTTTAATAGTTAAATTTAAAAAAACTCAAGTTCTCTAACTTATAACTTTAATTGTAATTTATGTTTTCCAAATAACAAAAACGCTAGTCACAGATAAAGTTCTTCCTTATGTGTCGTGGAATTTTGGTTATTCTACCTACTACAAAAACAGTACAATTGTTTCGTACTAAACAGTTTTGGCTATCTTGTACATTTGTAAGATGGAGACTTAATGCTGGTATCACGTCATCTTAATGGCTTGTTTGTTGCTGTTGATCTGAAATTATTTCGTCGATTCTTGTTTTAACGGTTTGTTAAATTAGTTATGAGAAATTAATTATTGATGAAATTTCCAGTCGGATTCTAGTTTTATTTTTTATTGTAGTCATTGTGGAAAATCAATTTTCACACAAATATGTAGTTGTTGAAAATGGAATGAGTATTTATAATGCTTCTTCGGCCAAACTAGGATAATATATTCATTTTAAACCTGCATCCAAAATTGACCTATCTACATTTTTGTTATTTTTAAAAACCTTGTGGTGCCAATACCTGAACTCAATTCAATCAGTTTTTCTTCATTTGTTAATGATAATATATTTTGATCTGATTGTACGAATGGGTTTGGGGCAAAGCCTCCAATAGTAATGAATGGTGCTCAGTATAAATTTTAGCTTCTTGTGCGCGTTGGTTTAGTAAACTGAATTAATAAGCTAAGGTTTAGACCAAAATTTCTATAATTCAATAAAAGGGGTGGTAATTGGACAAAAAGTTCATAGACACAAGGTCTGTTTTGAAAAAAGTTGTTCAAAAAGTCTGGATTTAATTTTATCATTGGACAATAAGTCTGAGCAGATTTGTATTGTCAGACAAAAGCTCTGAAAATACAATATATTATATTACATTTTTATTTGTAATTATATTAATAAAATATAGATTTATATATAATTTTTTTTTTAAGCATATATTTTTTTAAATTGCATTAGTCATTGTTTAAGAAAACGTAACAAATATTAAATTATTATTACTTATTGTAGTGATTGATGTCTATAAAGACTATTTTTATAAACTGTTTATAATATATTTTTGTGCAAGCCAAAAGATTTATATTTTTTCTTATATATTTTACAACTGACTTTTATATTGACCATCATATTAAATTTTTATATAGAACTATAATATTTGTAGACTTTAGAAGTATAAGGAACAGTTATCAGATATAATATTTTATTAAAACTGTATAAGAAAATTAATCACATTTTTTAAATGAATATTGTATAAATTAAATATTTTATGTTATACAGGGTGATTCTTTTATCATCGAACACTCATTATTTCAAAAAGTATTAATGTTTTTGAAAATATTTTTTAAATATTTTTTATCCTTATATTTTTTTAAGATTTTACTTTTTTGAATCATAACATAGTTTTAATTTTATATTTCAAAGCAGACTATTTTTCTAAGTATTTTGATGGCTGATGCATAAATATTGAATTTTAGGACGGGTAGTTTATGAGTTATGGGTATTTAAAGTTTAAATGGGCGGAGAGGAGTGGTACGGGGTTACCCCGCAAAATATTTATCCACTACTCCGCTTGACTAAACTTTAAATACTTATAACTCATAAACTACTTGTCCTAAATTTGATTTTTATGTTTCAAAATACTTAGAAAAATATTCTGCTTTGGAATATGAAATTAAAACTATGTTTTCATTCAAAAAAGTAAAAAACTTCAAAAATTATAAGGATAAAAAATATTTAAAAATATAATTTTTTAATAAAAATGTTGTGTTTTTGACAACTTGAAACTATAAAAAATATTTTCAAAAACATTAATACTTTTTGAAATAATGAGTGTTCAATGATAAAAAAATCAACCTGTATACAGGTACCTATATAATATCATCAGTGTTTTTGCTACACTGGAAAACATACTAACTGAGATACAAATCCGTTTCATAACAATAGGAATAATAATATGAAGTTTGATAGTGCATGTTTTGGGTGTAAAGGCATATTTGGCATATAGTCGATTTTTTACAGTAGTTAGTGCATATTATTTCATAAAAATATTTTTTAGTCAAATACTTGAAAAGTTTCTTTCGATTTTGGATATCTTGCTCCAATCGTCCTACATCGCATGGTAAATTAACACAGTTTTTTAAATTTTTTATCGATTAATTATTTTACTAATTAATAAAAATATAGAAAATGTAGCTTCTTACGTTTGATAAAAAAGTTCTCCTCTACAATTTTTATAATAGGTATTTTTGTATGAAACCATTTTTTTAAGCCATAATATTTTGTCTACTAGTGCGCCCTCTTAAGTTGGAAAACATAAAAAAAACACTAATAGTACAGTGTAATTTCTAAAGTAAATACAATTTTTATAAATATATTACTAAATTATCTCTAAATGAAATACCTAATATTTCATTCCAAATGTTTTCATTGTTGGTGCTGAATAAAAGTGTACATAATTAGACAAAAAATGACTACCTAATTACGATTTATAAAGATGACAAAGCTATTTGAACTTCACAAGTATTTGTTTAAATTTTATATTTTATTAATTTTGACTGTTAAATATATAAAAATTAAAAGGAATAAAATACTTTTAAAATTTATGGATTTATTCTTATTATTTTAAAATTTGGTCATGTTTATTTTTACATTCATATTTTGATTGCATTATTTAAAAATGTTAGGGCAATAATTGCATATTTTGACATTTTTTAGTGCATGAAGTTACGAGCCCTGATTTTAATATACCTAATTATAAATTGAATTAATGTAATAGAATATTTTTAATTTACCGACTTTTTGTCCAACTTTTTTTAAAACTGACCTTTTGCTCATGGATTCATTGTCGGATTGTCCATAATGATAATGTTTCAAAATGTGTACTCCCTTTATCTGTACGAAATAATGATAATGTTCATCCAGAGTACGCTTATCATATTTAAGGGGCCTGCTCGCGATTTTTCAAATTTTCCGCAATTCTATAAAATTTGAAAATTAAATTTTATATTATAGTTGCCACCTCAATTATAAGACTTTTCCACTAATCTACTACCCCATACCTATTTAGGGGGGGTTGATAGGGTGTATTATATCGGTCAAAACACAGTTTACAGGAAAAACTCTCACACCTCGTAGATTGGTCCGATTTCCGTAATTTTTTTTTGTTAGATAGAGGAATATTTTTTTACAGGGCGCATTGGACTTCGATTTTTGATTACGTCGCTAAAAACAAAAAATAATACAAAAACTAAAAAGTTGTAAAAATTGATTAAATTCAAACTTGTAACATAAGACTAGAAAATAATGTTGAAAATCCAAGTCCAATGCGCCTGTAGAAGTCTCCTCTATCTAACAAAAAAAAATTACGGAAATCGGACCAATCTACGAGGCGTGAGAGTTTTTCCTGTAAGGCATGTTTTTGAGCAAAAAAACGGTCGCGTGCAGGCCCCTTAACGTGATTAGTATACAGCTGGTTCCTGAGATTGATGTGACACAATAGATTTTGATGCAAAACTTAGTTTACATTATTTAATTTGAGTAATATAATTCATCTTAAACTATAAGTAAAAGTAGTTTGGAAACATACCTTAATACTTAATAAGTAATAGTAAATACTAAGTAACTAACCTTGTTCAGTAACAGGTGACTGTTGCCAAACTGTAGTTTGCGGTTGAACAACTTGTTGATTGTTCACCAATGTATTGCTTACAGTTTTTGTATTGGTTGGTAATCCAGTAGTTACAGTTCCACCTGCCATTTGTTGTTGTTGCTGTTGTTGTTGTTGAGCCAAAAGCTTAAAGAAAAGTCAAATTATAACCACTATAATGGCTTTGAACACAATAATTTATAATATTATAATTATATAGATGTATTACTTGCTGTTGGCGTATTTGATTCCACTGTGCTTGTTGAGCCGGTGTCATCCCAGTAGACGATATCAGTTGATGATTGAGAGTACGAATCACAGTAGTCTGACCATTGGGTGTTGTTGATGGTCTGACAATATTTGTACCTCCAGTCACACCTGCAGCTTGCTGTTGGCGAGCCTATTAGATAATTATTATTCTTTATTGATATAGAATGGATATAGAATAGAGTCAGTATCATCTGTAACCACGATCAGGGGACCATAAAAATATGTTGTTATAACTAAATCTGATTTTGTACATATGTCAAAATGGAATTTGGCCAGGACCTTGAAAATAATGTTGTTATACCCCATATGTATTTATGACCAGTGTCGTTACAGATGGTACCGACTGAATTTAGTGTCAATCGTACATTAAATTGTTGCAAAACAAGGTTCCTTTGTTTCGTTAATTTATTAATAAATGCCAATCGTTCAGATGGATTCATCGCTTGTATTTGCTGGTGGGTTTTTGCATCCATATGTATCATCTGTTGTGGCCCGTGCTAGAAAAAGTTATTGTTTGTAAATACTAAGTTATTAAATAAATTATGAATGGTAGAAAAGTGATCAATTACCGGAGACTGCTGTGACCATATTACTTGTCTTTGATCCATTGGCTGTTGAATAGTTCTTTGAATGGTTAAAGTTTGTTGTGGAGGCCACTGTGTTTGAGTAGTTGGTTGTGTATTTGCATTATTCATATTAACTGTTGGTTGTTGTCCAATAACTAAGGTTTGTTGTTGTTGAATTTGCTGGGATTGTTGCTGGTTAACTTGAACACGTGGCTATACAATTATTAAAATATACACATGTAACAATATAATATAACAATTATAGGTCCTTAACGAGTATCGTTGAGACTGTGTCCACCCATAAGAAATAGTAATTACAAAATAATTTAAAATACCAGTATTAATAAATAGAAGTGATAAATAAGTAATGAGTAATAACTGATAACGATAACCAGCAATTTAGTAAGATGCTCTTTGAAAACTCATAGTTTAGACCTAAATGTGTTATCGGATATGGCTGGTAGAATAATTCACATTGAATTAAATTAAGCCAATAAGACTTTGGGTCTTCAAGGTTACACACACTGTTTTTGCTAAATGTGTACCATACATGTTTTTGTTTATAATTTAACATCTATTTATTTTTTATTCTTAAATTTGTCTTTTTATAACAAAAAAAAAAATAGGACACTAAACCAGTTTTTTAATAAAAAATAATATACCTATATCTAATCTAAAATAATATATTTTTTTTTACATATTATTTTATAGTACAGAACATTTTTGGTCTCCTCAGACAGTAAGATAGATACTCACGGATCACTAATTATAATAATATTTAAATATATTAATAAGAAAATGTATCTAAGTAATACATTGCGAGCCAGATACGAGCTTATAGCTCAGTTGGTAAATGTATCAGCTATTATTAATGTAATTTATTGTAATTGTTTTGGCTGAAAAAATAAAAAAATAGTACCATATTAGACGGTGGATGAGCCATTCGCCATTGAGTTGAAACAGTGCCACCACCTTGTTGCACGATGCGTTGTTGAAACATTAATCTCTGCTGTTGTTGAAGTAGGAGTTGTTGTTGCTGGTTAGATGGATTAGCTTGAGCCTGTTGAAGCTGTTGTCCATTTGATACAATGCAAATCTGCGAAGATTGTGAAGACTGGGCATTTTGTAATTGAGGTTGTTGTTGTTGTTGCTGTTGTTGTTGTAAATGAACTTGAGCATTTTGAGTAACTTGCTGAGGAAATTGTACTTGTTGACCATTACTTGTTTGAAATTGTATCTGCTGCGGCTGAATTTGTTGAATTTGTTGTCCCTGTTGCAACTGATTAGAATGCTGTGGGTTTTGTTGTAATTGAACAGTTTGTTTCTGTAACTGGGTTATTTGACCCTGCTGTTGTTGACCTTGTTGGAGTTGAACAGTTTGCTGTTGTAATTGAGGCATTTGAACTTGTTGTTGTTGTGGTTGACCCTGCTGGATTTGAACAGACTGTGGCTGTAACTGAGGTAATTGACCCTGTTGGATTTGTACTGTTTGTTGCTGTAACAGTGGTATCTGGTTAGGCTGTTGGCTAGATTGAAGTTGCTGGACGTTTTGTTGTTGCTGTTGACCTGACTGAATTTGAACATTTTGCTGTTGCAATACGACTTGTTGTTGTTGATTTTGAAGTTGTTGGCCAGGAATAGACTGCAGCTGTTGAACTTTTTGTTGCATTTGAATGTGTTGTTGATTTTGTTGTAGTGTTTGTTGTTGACCTTTTTGCATCATTTGAAGATGAGTTTGTTGTCCCTGTTGCATTTGCATATGGGTTTGTTGAATTTGTTGTTGATTAGGTTGATATTGCAACTGTTGTCCATGTTGTAACTGAATTTGTTTTGATTGTTGCATTTGTTGAGTGCGAATTTGTTGTTGAAATTGATTTTGTTGTTGAGGCATATGCATTTGCTGCTGGGATAAAAGCTGATTATTAGCATGTGTTTGCTGTTGCAACTGTAGTTGTTGAACTTGTTGTTGTGACAGTCGTTGAAGTTGTGGGGTAGACATTAATGACATCATTGGTTTTAGTTGAGTAGTATTTGATTGAGCTACTTGAGACGGGGTGGTCTACACAATAAAACGAAAAAATTTTGTAGATCAGTTTAAATTACCTTATAATAAGCATAAAATAATAAATTATAATAAATTTAATAAAAAATGATGAAGTTAACACTCCAATTACATGAACAGGTTGAGATGTTGGTGGTGTGGGAGGTTGATTCCATGGTAAACGTTGTTTTAACTGTTCTAAACCCTGATTTTTAGGAACAACGCCTCCAGGTTGTTCAACAGGTGCATCAAAATCAGCAAACCCAGTAATTGTTGACAAGCCACTAGTTTGTAATTCTAAAAGAGAAAAAAATTTTAAAAACAATTTAAATTTTCATTCTTAAATAACATAATAATTATGAAACATACTAAAAGATTGATTTGTAGGTAATAATTTGGGCATGACTAGAAGTCTAGGATGATAGTTAGTTTCAGAACATAATTCTTTGTTTTTTAAACAATCAATAATCCAATCGGGTGTTACAATTTTGATCTTATCTGAACCACTTGATAAAACAGCATCATACTTTTTCTAAATAAAACAGTATCTTTTTCAATTTTTAATTCAATATTTTGATTAGGTAATAAATTACAAAACAAACAAATAAAATAATCAATAATTCACAATATTTCAATTTCATTAGATTTTGGATAAAATAATAACATAAATAAAAACCAATTTTACATTTATAATTGTTTAGTAGTAAAACCATGAAATTACATAGATCAGTATATGATATTAAAATTAAATTTTATATATTTATATAGTGAACTACCTATATAGTTTTATCACATTGCAATGTGCAATTAAAAAAAATAACAATTAATCCAAAAAATAATAATTTACCTACCTATATACTTAAAATAGGTTTTTTTTAACATAAAATATTATGTAACATTTTTATTCTGATTAGTTATGACTTATGGTAGACTATTTCAGTTGGTATATTCTATTGTGTATTGATAAAAATTAATACAATGTTAAATTACTATAGAATAGCTGAGAAATGATATAATATATTATGTATTAATTAATTAATTAAATATTATATATTCATTAAAAAATGATTAATAATTATTAGTTATTAGCAGGAACTGGGGCTTAAAGAAATTAAAATTATCCAAATAAATTACATTTAAAAACTTCTCAATGTACAAATGATTTAAGGCCTGTTAGATAATGCATTTACTTATCAATAACTATCTAAGATACCAAATGTGCCAGTTAATACAATATATAGGTACTATAGTAAAGGTACTATTTACAAATATATTATTAATTACCCCAAATGGTTTGGTAACCACCAGATGAGTAGTTTTCTTAAGGTTCAATGTTAGTTGAAAAGTACCACCGTTATAGGTGACTAGTGCCCATAAGATCTTACAATCATTTGCAATCTGTTGAGATACACATACAGTTATTCCACTAAATATATTATCTTCAAATGGATTAAACGGTTTTGTTCTGAAATTATATTATTAAGGAAAAGACACAAATTATTGGCACAAGTGTTTGTATCATTATTTATTAAATATTTTTATGTAATACATAATAATATGATTGTAAGAATTTAATTTTAAATATAATTAAAAAGTTATACTTTTTATTATGAAATGTACTTATTTGTTCATTACTTTAATTGTGCTTGTAGGTAATTCAGAATGTTTTTTAATAAAAGGATACGGTAGTAGTTTATTGCACAAGACAGACATACGGATCCATTCTGGAGTTACAGTAGTAACATCATATAATTCTCTTGCAGCACTAACATCATCTACTACATAATTTTTTCCGACAATACAATGTGTAACTGAATCAGATAACAAACGTGTTGATTCGGCATTGCTGTTTTTGAGCACCATTAATGCCTAAAAACAGTAAAAACACCAAAATTAACAATTCAGTGTGCATATTACATGGTACTTACTTCATCTCCAATCGAACCACTAACAAAATAGACAATGTTTTCAAATAATTTGAGTTTATTGTCGCCATCCCGCGGCATGGAAGAGTTTCGGGATTCGTCGGCTTTTACAGAAGTATCCATCACGAACAATAATTTTCTAATAAAATGTTAACACAGCTTCATCGCCGACTTAACTTCCAATAATTTCAGAAAAATTCTACTAGTGACTAAATCTGTATTTTGCGGTTTACGGCATTATAGTATTTTTGTCATGAGTAAGTTGTACCTCCGCTAATTTTTAACTTTTATTTATTAATATCATTATTCGTTATCCTAAAACAATATAAACAAACGTTATCAGTAGACACATACAGTGCAACCACCAGCAAAAACGAACGGAACCACAAAAATAATCCCATTTAAAAATGTTCACTTTTATTCTTATTATTAGTTATTTTTAATCAATTTATAATTTTTAATATTTTTAACATTTACAAATCTACAATGTGTAAAATTGATGTACATATTTGTAAAATTTTAAAATGAAATGTGACTGTATTTGTAATATTACTCTAGTCTGCTACACTCCGGTAAGTACCTACCTATATAGTTTAGGAAGTAAGATATTAAATGATATACGAACTATAGGTACCTACTTATAAGTCAAATTATTAAAATATATAACTAATTTAAACAAATCAAATTGATAATAATAAATAGCGTACCAAAATATTACTTGCATATACTAAAAATATTAAAATATAGGTATAACACTAAACACTAACACGAATAGCTCACTTGTATTTGTAATTTGTATTACCTATAGGTAGGTAGGTACTATTATTATAGATAGGAAGTTTAATCATTAAACTAGTTACTAGTAGGTACCCATATTATGTTTTAACTCTAAATGTAGCCACATTATGTATTTATTTTAAATTATATTAACTATTAGAGGCCTATTTAGACAGTGATTTGACTATTGTTGCGCTATTAATAGACATTTAACTTTTTTTACTTTCTTAATTTTTTTTTTTTTTATATTGAAAATGTATTAAGTATTACCAACTGAGATTTGCCTGTATAATAAAAAATGAGCCAAGATAGAATTGGGTACCAATATACCTAAGATCATATTATTCTGTTATATTTAAAGCCGGTTGTTGTCTACCTAATCAATATAGCTTTTGAGAAGCCAGTCGGCAGTCATATAATAACGTCGACTTGAGATCCAGGTTCTACACACTCAGCTACTGTGTTAAATAATGAATTTTTTTAGTTATTATGAAGGCAATTGTTCTAAATTGCATATTTAAATCAAAATTAATGTAATACTGTGAATACCTATAGAAACTTGCCTCACTATCCGAAATCGGCTGTATATCATTTGCGCATCGTCTGTTTACCTGTGCCAAAATATCGTATAGTCGCATCAACATACTGAACAATAGAAGGGTATAATAAATAATTTTCGAATGAAAATTTAATGATTTTCATAAATCATATTATGTAATAAATAGATACAAACAATTAAAAATAAATTGCATTAATTCATGAATTAAATTAATTGAATTGTAGTCATAACTCATAATTATATAAATGTACATGCATATAATATTATATAGACGATGAATCATATAAGATTCTTTTAGTTTAAAAATAATAAATATACATCATAGTCATAAATTGTTGATAAATAAGCATTTATACAGATCAAATTTTGAAAAAACATCAAAATCTTGAAAATATGTGAATTATTTTGTAGTTCAAAATGTAACATTTTTAACTACAAAATTAAATTTTTACTCCAAAAAACAAAAACAAATTTCCATATAATTCTAATAAAAAAAAAATCAAAAATAAATTGTGTTCAATTCAATTAAGCACTTTACAGCAGTCATAGTTATAATATTAATATACTTATATATATATATATATATATATTATACATAGTTAGAGAAAAAAGTAAAAAAAGTAAAAATTATATTACAAATCAATGTTTTTGAATATATTATAGTCTAGTTGTTGACGTTCAGGAGCCGGTTGTAAATTATGGATACCGTACTAGAAATTTAGAAAACCACCTGAGTATATGTGTACCTTTTTTTCAGTTTTATCGTTAAATAATATTGATGCGCAAATGATGTACGACCTTTTAAACGGTCAATGCGCAAAGTGCAAACGATGTATACCTAACCCAAAAATCTAACCATGCACTGTCTAACTGCCTTACAAAAAAAGTCAAAATTAAATATAGTGATGCGCAAACGACAACCAGAGTCGAAATCACTGTTCCCTTAAAACATGTTTTTAATGTTTCATATAATATATAGGTAAATGCTATAATATGTGTATCCTTAACTGGACGTAACACGCAGGCATGTATTGCCTCCGTCTTACAAGTCCCTATTGGCTATTACATAGAAAATTTAAAGTTCGGCAGATCACGTACAGCTTCGTTATAGTTTAAAAATTATAATGAATCAACCTATTATGATGCTTGATGGTAAGAACATTATCTGTGTTTGTATGTGGGTTTTTTACGATAATTAAATTTTTTCCAAGTGTTGAATATATAAAATAGCTTAAATGAAAAATGTTCATAAGACTCACTTTATAAAAACTGAATTATCATAAAAAAAAAATCACGTGAAAACACAAATAATGTTGTTATTCTTGTCTTCATGTACGAAGTACCTACCTATTGAAGTATAGGTACCTACTAATAAATGACAATGGTATCAAATAACAATTAAGTAAATCAATGGTTAGAGGAACTAACTATATAATACTATATTATACTATAATACATTAATACTATACCTATATGCATTGATGTACTGTGTGTCTGTATTATTTATTATTATTACAATGTTTATCAGGCTTAAACCATCCGCGGTCACACTTGTTAGTTATTACCAATTACCAATTGGACATGCCTATCACGCTGCGCCTTCTTTACATGTTAAAAAAAATGTTATGTTATTATATTATATTCAGTCAAAAAGCTTGACAATTTTAAACAATATTTTTTATACAAGTTACACTTATAGAAAATTAAAAATATAAAATATATATAGGCCTATTAATATACCGGTACCTACCCAACATTTTTTATAACCCTTTGAAGTTCAAATTTTGTATTTTTTAAAATAACGAAAATCATCAAATATTGTTTTGTAGTTAAAAATGTATATGCTAAAGTTGTTCTTATAGCAGCCTTAATATTTTCAAAGTATACATATAGGCACAATTTTTTGTTATAATGTCGACAAATCGAGTAGGTATTTAAACAAAAAACAATGATTTTAGTTTTAATTTAATAAATAATATAATAAAATATCCTTATAGAATTATAGGGATTACCACGCACAGAATTGTTTTTCACATGCAATAATATTTCATTGAATTTAAATTTACAGTGACCTACTCAATGATTGCTCGACAGTCAACAGTCGACACCTACTACTGCAGAGCTACTATTTCCCAATTTTATTTTTATTTTTAAAATAATTTTCTTAAACTATACAATTTATTATAGGTACTTGATGATAATACTTGGTATAGGTAAACAAATTATACATATTTTAAAATATGTTATGTTATAACTTTATTATAAACGATATAGTATAGGTAGTTAGGTACGTTGTATAATTGTATAGGTACGTACATGAATCGCAGCACCTATATTATATATTTCGAATGGTTAAGTTTTAACTTAATCCAAACATTTTTACCTACAAATTTAAATTTAATATTAGTAGGTACAATAATTATATTATAATATATTATAGAACATCACATATTATGTTGCTTAATTTCTTTCCACAAATAAACATTTGTGTTGGCTACACTACAAAAGAGTTAAATATGTAGAACTTTCACTATAGTTCAACGTAGGTACACAAGTATAACGATGACCAGTGTCCATCTGCGTTCGTAATTGTTGATCGAATAATATATGTACTGCTGCAGGACCGGTGACTTCAATGATATTCTTCGAAAAGTAAGATACCATACTTATCTATAAATTATAATAATATAATATTGCAAATCAAATAACAAACAGTAGGTAGGTAATAATGACAATATAATAAACCAGCTATTATTTATAGGTACATTTTTATTTTTTGTAATTCATAAACAATTTTTAGTTTTTCAGAAGTAGGTACTGAGCATGTTCATTATTCTCCTTAGTAAAATCGCTTACTAATATTAGTAACATTTAGAAAGGTATTCCAATGAGATATATTTATTAACATTACAATTTATATTACCTGCCGTTTAATTTTTATTTAAAGAATATTATGATTTTTGTCGAAACCCACTGGTTTTAGGTATAATACAATTATTAGTATAAATTATGGTACAATACATTTTAGAGTACCTACGTATGTATGATACTATAGTACTATACATATAATAATGATGATCGTTAACATATTTTCTACTGGTTGCCCTTGAATCTTCCTTTCACCATACAATATTTAATTATTGTCAAATAATATCATACACTTAATGATACTATTGCGTATTATACAGATGATGAATGATAATACAATACTTTCTAAACAATATTATTGTTATTATTTGTACAGTTTAATTAAATGTGTAAACATTATACAACATTATATACTAACATTTTATTTTAAACTAAAATAACCTAAATGCAAACATTAAAGAAATATTTAACAATGTCCACAGTTATTCACAATGAAAAATATTCGTCAGTTTCAAATTCATTCAATAAGATGGCGATCAACAGCTACTGCACATTCACCCCACGTCTCCGCGGGATCACCGGAAGTCCTAGAAGCGACTAATGATCTTATCACAGCTAAACACTATAGTCAGGTCCCAGGACCCACGCCATGGCCAATTATAGGAAACACTTGGAGAATGTTACCAGTTATAGGTAATATCAATATTTAATATAATATATAAACTAGCTAGGACTCGTTACATGTACTGTAATAAAATTCTGAAATATATGAATGCAACTATGCTCTTATAAAAAAATAAATACATATATGCTAAATGGGATATTATGCAGTAAAAAAAACCTTAAATTATTCGATAAAAGCTCATAAATAGGTTGGAAGAAAACAATTTTTATCAATTTCTTTTAGATTATGAGCGGAGCGATTCGGTTCATCTAGATTCTAGAATCTAGTTGGTGCATTCGGTAAATCAACATTTAAAATTCCTAATATTTTTCAATAGTGCCGGGAAACACAAAATAAAAATAAGGAAAAAATCGGAATTTTTACACAAAATCTGTTTTCGACCAAACCTATTTTGGTTTTTGGTGTATCTCTAAAACAAATGACCCTACGGTTAGATACATGCAATTTTCACTTGTTGTTTAAATTATCATTTTCTATACACGATAGAATTTTCAAAATATTTTAATTTGTTTTGAACTGTCAGCGGACATTTTCAGTTTTTATTTTTTTTTTAAATGTCAATAATGTCATTCGTTGGGTAAAAATACTTGACAATTTAATTAAAGGCTCCTAATATATTGCTACAATGGCATTTGAAAAATATTAAAATTCCATAGTCATCATTTTTTTTCATAAACATTTAAAGTTCAAATCTTGACGAAATGCATTTTGTTTTCCCTAATTATTTTAAAAAGTACAAAGAAATTTCTACTTTTGACCCTCCTAAATGGCTCTCTCGGAGTTCATGAATTGAGATCGTATCGCCTTAGCCCTTGAAAAAATTTCTATATATTATACTTAGCTTTGTGCTTATGTTTTACTACTATGTAACAAGATTTATATGCAAATTCCTAAACTTACGATCCCTAGTTGTGGTATATAGTACATTGTATATAAGATATAACTATATATAAGTATAGGTATATTATACTGTAATGATTCAAATATTACATTTTTAAAGCTCAAGCGTTTAATTACTATGTATTATGTTGAAGGCCCTTATCAGATATCAGATTTGGCAAACGTTTCCTACATACTGTACAAACAATACGGGAAAATAGCAAAGTTGGGCAATCTAGTTGGTCGACCGGATTTGCTATTTGTTTACGATGCCGATGAAATAGAAAAAGTTTATAGACAAGAAGGAAATACACCGTTTAGACCTTCTATGCCGTGTTTGGTTAAATATAAAAGTCAGGTTCGAGGACAATTTTTCGGGAGACTACCAGGTGTTGTCGGAGTGTGAGTGTTAGAACTAAAACAAATATACAATATGTACACAACACAATATTAATAATTATATTGTATAATAATATGTGTAATATTATCTAAATTGACTATTTAGGCATGGAGAGGCGTGGAGAGAATTCAGAACTAAAGTTCAAAAGCCTGTCTTACAACCACAAACTGTTAAGAAATATATTCAACCAATTGAAGAAGTTTCCGACTATTTTATAAAACGGTACGTATATATAGTGCTGAATAACATACATGTATTATACCCATACATATACCTACGGGATATGGCCTAAATTAAAAATCAATATATTATTCTCATCACTGTTAATTATTTGTAACTTCCCTAAATTATGATTATAGGATGCAAGAAATGAAAAATGAAAATTCTGAAATGCCAGCTGACTTTGATAATGAAATTCATAAATGGGCTTTAGAATGTATCGGTCGTGTGGCATTAGACGCAAGACTAGGTTGTCTAAACCCGGATTTACCGAAAAATTCAGAGCCACAGAAAATAATCGATGCCGCAAAATACGCACTCCGGAACGTGGCCTTATTAGAGCTCAAGTATCCGTTTTGGAGATACTTGCCATCCACACTCTGGAAAAAATATGTTTCAAATATGGATTATTTCATTGAGTACGTATTCAACAAATTATTATACTATATAGTCTATACTCTATATAGATACCTACATGATTTAAAAAAAAAATCTTTTAAATTAAAGTCAATAACCTAACCTAACCTAACGGATATGTGCGTCAAAACAATAGATATTTACATTATTTAGTATATAATAGTGTACACCATTTAGTATATTTTTTTTTTTTTTTTTTACATTTTGAAATCGGGGCCTGGGGGTGGCACTGACGTTAGTCATTTCACCCCCCAGGTTAACATCATTATTTAGTAATATACATACAAACATTTTGTGGTCTGAACAGAGACAATCCACCTGTGTTACCCGCAAAAGATTATTTACAATTTATTGAAGCGGCTTCTATCCCTTCAAGTTTTGCCTTCGGCGTACATCAAAAATAATATATATATAATTTATGTTTTTTTGGTTGTCTTCTTCTGGTTCTCGAGCCGACAAACGTCCCGCCGCTCTCGACTTCTCGTGCTGTTTTGCCTTTTCACGTTCAGGTCCCTGGTGCCGTCTCTACGGTGCAGCTTGCGACAATGGCATGTCTCCTTCTTTCTCCTCGGTCTTTTTTTGTAGCACTTCGGGTACGAATCCGTTGATTAGTATATTAAATATACCAAATAATAGATAGGTTAACCTAACCTAACCTAATTAAACTTTTCTTCTTTGGGTCCGAAAAATGGTCTACTTAACTACTAAAATAGCACACATTTGTATCATGGATATACACAACTATTATCGTAATAATGAGCCATTATTTACTTATATCTGTCTATTTTCAAAGGATTACTTTAAAATTATAATTACATAAACTCGAGGTATAAATTTAATATTTTTGAGTTGCTAACAACTATAGACGTAACTACCTAAGACCTTAATACCTTATATACTAATAGTCAATAGACAAGAAATGAGTGTATGTATTTCGTGCAAATAAAAGGAGCTTATTCTTTAGGGCATATTTATGGCAGTATTGGGTAGTACAGCAAATGGCAATATATAGATATATATAGTCATATAGATTATTGTATTTTGTTATCAAGACAAGCTACATTACTGCGAAATGTTTCCACGCTGCTCGTGATGCTGTTGTTATAAACGTTTCCCGTCATATTAATATAACATGGCTAACAACGACACAAATTATATAATATGCAAAATTATTATATCACAAAAAAAGTAGGCAGTCAAAAAATAAAATGTTTTGGATTAATATATAATATCATATTATTATGTTAACATTAAACGTGTATATACAATTATTTACCAAAATAAAGAATTGTTATAGACTTATAGTCGTATCTGTAATAATAAATTATTTAATATTTTTAATTTTAATAGAATTTGTATGAAGTACATTGACGATGCAATGTTGAGATTAAAAAATAAATCACAATCGGTGAATGAAAGCGAGTTGTCTTTGGTTGAGAGAATTTTGGCGAATGAACCTGATCCAAAAACTGCTTACATATTGGCGTTGGATCTTATTTTAGTTGGGATTGATACGGTTCGTAAATGTTTATTTATATTTATTAGATAATAGATATGTCTATATTTATTCTAATAAAATAGTTACCTTTGCCATGTAATAATTTTAAATCATGTAAATTGATATTATCCGTAGGTAAAATTTATACATTTTTGAAGAATATTTTTGAAATGTATTATTCCTATTTGTTTAATAAGTGATTATACTATATAGATTATAGGACATAGGTATTAATGTATTATAGGGATATGCGTAGTTTAATCGAAAACCTTTTCGGTGTTTAGATAAACATTTCAGTGTAGTATTTTTCGAATAAATAATATTTTTGGAGCAATTATATTGTATTACTTTTTAAGCATCTACCGCAAAAGCTCGAAATCTTTTGCTGTTTTGTATAATGCTACTTTCTAGTTAATCGTAAGGTCATTTAAATATGCCATAATTTTTTGTTGTCAAAATGTATTGTTATTTATATTTTTACAAGTATATATTATGGATAATTTACGTCTAAATAAATAGTAATACATAATAGTTAGTACCTATTATAAAATATTTACTTACGCCCAGTAAAATTAACTGCTGTTTAGATTTCGATGGCTGTATGCTCAATGCTTTATCAAATAGCCACACGACCAGAAGAACAAGAAAAAATACATCAAGAAATACTGAAAATTTTACCAAATAAAGATGATAAACTTGACGCAAGTAAATTAGAGAAAATGGTTTATTTGAAAGCGTTTATCAAAGAAGTTTTAAGGTAAAATTGTTTGAACTTATATAACACGTTTACGGTTTACTTACTGAATGATTATTGCAGAATGTATTCAACTGTGATTGGTAATGGTAGAACCCTTCAAAAGGATATGGTAATTTGTGGATACAGAATACCAAAAGGTGTAAGTTTAATGTTGTAACAATACTAACAATCGTATACCTAGTAATACGAATTGAACGAAAGACACAATAATAATTGTAAAATGTTGAATTTAATTTATATTTTACTAATCAACACAAAAAAACTATTAATCATTCAGCATCCTGAAATTTCTTGCATAACGGTTTCCCAAACTATAAAAATAAAAATGTATTAATTTTAATTAAAAAAATATAATAAAAACTTACTTCTATCAAAATATGCAGTGAACATTTCTAAATTATTGATACCAATAGATTTTATATCATTGTAATTATTTTCATTGCTTTCATTATTATAATATTTTATACTTTCTTTATTTTTATATAAATTGATTTTTTTTGTCCAATTTACGTTTTCCTCTGCATAATTATCTTTAGTTTTCTCACATTTTAAATAATATTTTTTTGGGTCGATTTTATCTTCTTGTTTGTTTTGATCGTACGATAAACCTGCAGAACTATTATTTATCGTTTTCGTGTAGTTTTGAATGTTATAAGTTTGCACGAACATCTTAGATTTAGAAGTTGATATCTATGTAATATGGACATGATATTATTATAAAAATATAATGTTAAACAAAAATTAAATATACTATACTAATAATTAATAAACTATAAAGAATTTGTATTTTAACATTCATTAAAAGTTGATTAACTTTCTTCAAAATAATGAGTGCTAAACAGTGGCGTATATAGAAATATTTTTCGAGGTGGGCTATAGTAGATAGAAACTAGCAAGTGATCTATTACTTAGAGGCTACTGTCTACTATATATTTAACAGTTTCTATAAATATATTGGTATTTATTATTTTTCAACAGGCTATGAAATATTATAACTTATAATAGTACCTAATAAAATATATTGTTGTTCTATTTTAAAAAAAAACTGTAATTTCAGGGGGGGCTGCAGACCACTATGCCCACACCCTATATACGCCACTGGTGCTAAAACACTGCTAAAAAATTCACACAGTATCATAATAAAGCTTATGTTTTAAATAGATTCAGTTAGTTTTTCCAACAATTGTTACGGGGAATATGGAAGAATACGTAACGGACTGTAAACAGTTTAAACCTGAAAGGTGGTTGAAACAATCAACTGATTATATTCACCCATTTGCTTCGTTGCCGTACGGGCATGGGCCAAGAATGTGTCTAGGAAGAAGATTTGCTGACTTAGAAATGCAAGTCTTCTTGGCGAAGGTAATTCAAATTTACACAATAGTATATTATAATTAATTCAAATAACTTGTTTTAATTTTCATATTTGATCTACTTATAATAAATGTTGTATCGTGACAAAATGTGTAGTAAATAATATTTAATTTTGTATAGTTGATACGATCTCACAAGCTTGAGTATTTGCATAAACCATTGGAATACAAAGTAACATTCATGTACGCACCTGATGGCGAACTAAAGTTCAAAATGACTGAGAGGCCTACGTCATAATAAAATCAAGAAACCCACAAACAATTTCATATGGACAACAACTAAGACATTTTTTTTTTGTTATTTGTTATAGTTTATTTTTATTACCTTATTATTATCATGTTTATTTTCTTGTAACTTTTGCAGATTTATCGTGCTAATAAATGTTGAATTGGATAGTGGATTTAAATTAATATCCATAACATCCAAATTTAATTTTTGATTTTTAGTAATATCCTGGTCCGTAAACGTAGAACCTATATAAACCAAACTTTTATCGTATTCGGCCTTATGAAACGATTCTATTATTGGTTTACTGTTCCTATATGTCAAAAATGTCTAGTAAAATTGTTGGTACTCTATTCATGGTCAATGACCGACCTACATATTTTTCACAATTCATAAATACCTGATATATTTATTTCTTCTCGGATTTTCTGCTTTATTTAAGAATCCATTATTTATACTGTAGGTATTTTGACCATTATGACTATAAAAACCCCAATTATGTTTATCATGGTAATCATTGAAATTGTTGTAGTTTTGTATAGAATCGTCTGTATACTGAAGATGTTGACCTTAAATGTCGACAAACAAAAAAAACTGTTTTAAATTAAGCATAATACAATAGATTGTATTTAATATTTATAAATAGTACTGGGAAATGGGAATGTAATACCCTAAAAAAATCAAATTCCAAGATATTATGCGATGTATAAAAATACGTTAAAAAATATAGTTAATACAGTTTAGAAACAACGTAATGTGTTGTACAACTGTGAAATTTTATTCAGAAAACACTTTAAAATACTATAAGTACTTAGTTACTATAATAAAAGTATTGTTATTTGTTATGGCCTCTTTAATTATTTGTGGATATGAGAACGGTATAGTCATTAGTCGATGGTGCAGGTTTTTATTGCTAACATAAATGTTTTAAGTAGGTATACTACTTTGTATACGTTTGCTTCAATAATAAATTATGATGAAAAAGTTTAATTATCCACTTAATAAGTTATGTTTTAATAAAACCTAAGAAAAAATATGATATTGCATCAAAATCTCATACCTATTTTATACGTACTTACCTACGTATAGCTTATGAATTTAATGGTTTAATTTTTTAAAACTTTACTTGTAAATATTTGTTAGCATTTAGTTATTTTTATTTAAAACTAGATATCGATTATAATTATAAAATTACAATAATACCTATTACCTATAACATTTTCAAAATGTATTTAATTGTTTTAAAACCACATTAACTAAGTACCTGTTGTGTATTTGGTTCCTCTATTGATAATCATTGTTTTAATATCATGACCCTTCACACTTCTGTCATGCAATTGTTTTTTATTTTGAGTTGTAAAAAAAATCGAATTTGAACGTTGGTCTGCATTGTCATTATCATTTAAAGGTGTGACTACTCTAACTGATTTATCATGTTGATCATTTGACTTTTCATTATTTAATTGACAATTATTTTGATAATTTTTTTTATGGTCTTGCTTACTACACAATTCTATACAATTATGGTTTTCCGGTAAATGGTTAAAACGATTATTGTAAGAAATTAAATTATAGTTTTTCGATCGACCAACAATCCGCTTTTTAAACACGTATGGCTTTCTCAGCTCTTTGGAGCTCGATGGTTTTACATCAATTAGATTATGAGATTTTTTATTTTTTCTCAAATCAATATCGGCTTTTTCAAAATTAACATCGACAACATTATTTTTTAATTCTGAAAAGTCAGGCTTATAATAGTACTTCATTTGTGCTTTATATTTATTTTTTTACCTGTCTTTTTCAATTCTTTTTTGTTGTCTTTGCGTACTGTATGATTAACTCTATCACAATATTTTTTCGAGAAATCGGTTGATTGCAGATTCATATCACTTACTTTGTCAGTTTTAAGAAACAGCTGTTGACTGTTCTTTGATTTCTTCTTTCTTTTTTTATGCCGGTTGCTATCTGCGATCTTTTCGTTCCGTTCTTCCTTTAATTGGTTTTCGATAATCTTTAAATCACGAAATGGTTGATTAGACAACTACTATTTAAGAATATCAGTAATATCAACAATGATCTTGATATAGTTTACAGATTATAAGCCATACAGCCTATATAGAGTTTTAGATAAATAATAAATACTTAACTGACAAATTTAATTACCCAATGATTTAAAAAGGTATGTTTTATTTAATATTTGATTATTGTTAATTCAACATCACTTTTTTTTTAATTTAAGAAAATTAAGTTATTACACATACCTATGTCAGTTAATAATTACATTTGTCAGTTATTTCTGTTACACTCTGCATGGATACGAATAATTAGATATTCAATAAACTTCATATTAAAGTAGTAGAGTGTACTTAGGATGGTAGTACGTACCATGATGTGATATTTTTTAGTCATTTTTCATATTTTAGATAGAATGTATAAATACAATATATTATGCGGTATAAACTATTTTTTCAACAATTTAACATTGTTTATTTATAGCTATAGTTGCTAATGAATTCAATTATTACTAATTTTTAAGATTTAAAAATGTTGCAGATAAATAAATCCGATTTCCTCAAAATATATTTTAAATAATTTAATATAATAAATTAAATTAAATATTTATAAAATATAAAATAATATAATATTTATTTATTTATTTGTTTTATTTTCCTGATCCGAGCGGTGATTGTATTGATCTTACGATGATGTGTGTGGTTTACCGTGTGTCATCACCAAATTTTCAATGTATTTTTACTCTTTTTGAGATTCAGGTATACATTAGGAATATCATAATATAGACATTCAACTTTTTATCTAGAAGTGTAGTTAAAACATTTTTTCTTGGTTAAAAAATAAAAACTTTGCAAATTTTTTAATGGAAGGATCCTCGTAAGCTGAACATAAATTAATACATTTGAAAAAATATCAGTCACAGTAATTTTTTATACGCGTTGCAAGCTAGAATTTTGACAAAATTCGTCAAAATCACGAAAATATAAAAATCATTTTCTAGTTAAAAATTCATAAAAGGTGAAAAGAAGGAGAAACATTTCCAAAATGACGTGTTACAGATCAAGTCACCAAATGTGAACTCAATAGTTAGGTACATGTCCGACGGTGAATTTGTTCACCGGATTGGTGAATTTAGGAATACGAATGTCGGGCCAAAGACGAAGATCAAAGGTAACACGATATCCAGATTTTAGCAGCGGTGCACAAAAATATTTTTATTTCATGAAATTGTTTTCGTAAAATAATCTGAAAAGGGATCAGCATAGATCCCTGCATAGTGCATTACCCTTTCTGAGTGTGAATGTATTGATTTTACAATGATGTGTTTTTTTTTTATTTTTTTTTTTGTGTCTATCATCACGGCTTGGGGCAGTAAGACTGCTTCGATTTTCTTCAACAGTATCTTGTTCGATGGGAAAGTGAATCTAGTTGGTGCATTCAGGAGGTCAAATTTTAAAATTCCCAATAGTTTTCACGAGCGCCGGGAAAAACAACATACAAATTAAGGAGAAACGGAAATTTTTACGCAAAATCGGTTTTCCAAAAAGTCGATTTTGGTTTTTGGTGTAACTCTAAAACAAATGAACGTATATACATGAAATTTTCACTGGTTTTTTATATTTGAATTTTCTATACACGATAGAATTTTCAAAATTTTATGATTTGTTTTAAACTGTTTAGGAACATTTTCATATTCCATTTTTTTTTAGTTTTTTTTCTAAAAATATCAATAAAATTTTATTTGTTGGTTAAAAAAGTTTGAAATATTAATAGAAGGCTCCTAGTATATTATTTCAAAGGCAGATGAAAAATATAAAAAAGCCTAAGTCACAGTTTTTTTTATAAGCATTTAAAGTTCAAAAATTGACAAAATATGGAAAAATCACGAAAATTAGCAAATTATTTTGAGTTAAGAATTCGTAAAAATGTTTCTTTTTAAATCTAAGATTTTAAAATGTAATACAAGATTCCTTATAACCATCCATTATACAGTGTCCCACTTGTAACCTACTGTACAGCAGAGCACCTTTTTTTTATTCTTATTTTATTTTTATATAATAATTATTATTTATGCTGAAATCTCTAATACCGCGATCCTTACAAAACATACATTTTTGGTTACATCTCTTATGCGCATATTATACATTTATAACTTCCATCCATGACTCTTAAAATAAATAAAACCAAATCATTTCTTTCATGAAATATTGTTTTCATACAATAGTCTAGTTGTTGCATAGATACCTGCAATACCTTTTCTTTACTGTGATCGAAGAACGCAGAGGCATGACAAAAATTAGTATGTGTGGCTCGTGCCGGAAGGCAATTTCAGTCTTGGTCCCGTGACTGAAACAGGCTCAAATAGCTCACTTCCCATCCCCCGCCCTTGCCACACAATAAACTATTGTTTCATTATATTGTATTGTATTGTTTTACTTAACCTTGTATTCGATAAAAAAAATTCTTTATTGAGTATTTCTAAAAAACGATGTTACCAATTATAAAAGTTTGGAACTTACTGCTTCCAAACATATTATTTTTTACTTTGAAGAAAGAAGCTCTTTCTAAATATATTTATATATAAGCTCAATAATTGCACCAGCATATAGGTACATATGTAAAAAATTATTTTCCACAATGAATTATTTTATTACTTTCAAACTAATTTTCAAATAAAAACAGAGGAATTGACGGATGAATCTATGAATGTTTAAAAAATAACTGAAAATAAGTGGAAAATAAATGAAAATTTAACTATGTGTAACTAATCAGAAATATATTTTAAAATAAACCAAAAAAAAAAATAATTCGTGTGAAATAAGCAAGTACCGCTATACATTTACACCACTTCTCGTGTTTCTTTATAATAATCAGCTACGTCCATCCGGATGGATCGTTGGGCAGGGGATAAACAATCGTGAAATTAGTGTCTATATAATATTGTTATCTTCGTTGCAATACCGTCCGTCCTTTCACTGCAAATTTCCTTTTTTTCTGAACCGGACTGACGGGTCTTAGCGCGTGTATTATATATATATATATAGGTAGGTACATTACGAAATAAACATTTAAGTTAATTCATCCCACGGCGAAATTTACGAAAGAGAAAACCCTACCTACCTATATTGTAGGTACAAGCATCTAACTATTCGCGTTTAGTGTTAGTCGTGTGTAGTTACTAGTTGCGGAAACCGTCGTGATAAATTTATTATAAACTTCAGTTGAGATTATTAATTTATCGAGTTGTATAGGTACATGCATGGATAAAATGTATACTACTACGTAAAACTAATTAAACAGGTAATTGAAATCAAAAAATTATTTTAATATTATTATAAAATACAAATAATATCGACATTCATTAAATGAATTAACGCGGTGAACACGGCTGCAGATCAGGTTTACTGATATTATTTATTATATTTTGTTTATAATCCTAAAATCCATGTAAATGCAAATCCACACACCATTTATATAGGTACAATAAATATTTATTTAAATATGGTAAATTAAAATCTAAAATTAGTATAAGCACCTATATTATATTCCTAGTTTATTCTAGTTTTATTTCAAAGGAAAACTTAAACAATAACTATAGAATTTTCGAAATAAATGTTATTTTTTAGAAAACTACCTATTTAAAAATTAAAAATTTTTCAGATTTTTTATTTATTTAATATTCGTTTGAATAAACTCTTTATGACAATAAACAATAAAGATTCATAATCTGGTGTTATGAATTACCACACCAATATATGTTCTAAATGAAATAAAATCCTTTGCGATTGTCCTGAAAATCAAAAGTACAGTAGTATAGCTCTTTAATATTGGATCAAACGGAAACTTATCAATATTTGTTCGTGATGAGAATGCGAAACGAAATCTAGGACAAATAAAGTTTCTAATATAGGTGTACCTACCTATATAATGGTGTGCCACGACACATATAAAATAACACCAATGAATCGATTCGCTATAGGCCTGCAATCTATATATTCGTTATATTATATACCTGTTGAGGAATCATTATAAATATTAAATTGATGTCATCCATTGTATAGGTACATCCCGGAGTAAGTATGTTTTTTCATTTCATCACAGCGCGTCGCCATCAACCACGTGGTATAATAAAATAATAAATAAAATATGATCAATGCATCATTATAAGCAATGGACCTTAGATCATATTATACTATGGCTGTTGCATTATAAACGCGTACTACGTATATGACCTAAGCAATGGACTAATATAATATAATATGCATCGCATGCACGCAATTATTTGTTTACAGGTTTCGTAGACACCCAATAATAAAAATAATAAAATGTCCATTTTGGCCAGACGGTTGAGAAATTTAAGGATTACAGTTGATCATGCCAACAAGTCGACTGAAGTTTTTACGAGTGTATCACAAGGAGATGTAGATTTTGCCAAAGATTATTCGGAACTACCGGGCCCAAAGTCGTTACCGTTATTGGGCAATAATTGGAGGTTTATGTCATATATCGGTAAGTGCATACTGTATACCTAGCTATATCAAAGAATTATAAAGTATAATTTCAAGTAACAGAGTACCTAAACAAATGGTTTTGTTTTGAAGTGTTTTTTTTTAAATAACTTATATTTTAAAACACTTTATTATTAAACGAAAAATTAACTTATGATAATTATTAATATAATATACATATTATACAAATTTTAAACAATAATGCAATTACTAGGTGTTTTAGTACTTGTTATTATATTTAAAGTTGATAAAAATACACAATCGTAGGTATTAGTGTATTATACTTTACACATGCGTATACTCGTATACATCATAACCTATACTATTTTGTAATATAATATTATGTTGGTACAAAGTAATAGAATTTTAATTATTCAACAATTATAAAAAGAAAGTATTAAGGTTTTGTTGAAATAGATAATTCGTAATATTGGCAGCTTATTATATTATATGGATTGTCTGAGTGAATACATTAATGGGCATATTAGTGTGAAAGAGTCAAAATCACTTAGAACTCTATAGAAATTCAAATGCTTCTTTAAATTACCTTAGGGACCCTTAGTCTAGAATCTAGATACTAATTTATCAGTATAGAAACTAATATAAAAGAGAAAACAATTTTCAAAATAAGTACTATACATAGTACTCATCAGCACTTATCAATTTAAATTTTGTCAAAACATTTGTATTTATTAAGCTTTTTACTTGTTATGTAGAAATAATATTTACCCAACGTTAACAATAAATTATTAACATACATTTATAAAATATATATTATATAGAATTGAAAAAAAAAAATTTTTTGAATAATTTTTATTTTAAGGCTTGTTAAATTAAAATACCAAGAAAATGTTTTCATACATAAGCAAGAAAAAAGCTAAATTCAAATAAAAAAAAGTAGTTAATCAAATTTAAAATTTAATAATAATTTTGAAGTTAAAAATTTTTAAAATGTTCAACTTTTATAGCTAAGGATTGAAAATTTAAAACAAGATTCCACGTAAATAGGTTATATATAAATTACTTTATTCACCTTAATATCATCAAATATACTTCTCAATATCATAGGCTGACTGACCGTTTTCGCTAAGAATCGTTTTTCTTATACAATGGTATTATATCATTGAATTCATGTTTAACACCATCCATTACAGTGACCCACTTGTAACCTACTGTACAGCAGAGCAACTTTTTACTTTTGACCCCCCCAAAGTACCAACTAGATTCACTTTCCTATCAGTAAAGATACTGTTGAAGAAAATCTAAGCATTTTTACTGTCCTGAAAGATGATAAACAGACTGATAAGATGACAGACACTAAAATAAAAAAAAAATAAAAGCACACATCATTGTAAAATCAATACATTCATCGTTTCACTCAGAATCTAAAACGGTTATCGGACATCGGGGAGTGCGTAATAACTAATAACTAACCTTCAGGCTTCCACTTATTGGTCTAAGACCAAGATAAATATTAAGTGCTCCAACAGCTTTAATAATAGGTACCTATAATGTTATTAAATACATGAAACACTCAATATTTCTGTGTATATTTTCAAACATGTTTAAAATAGGTAATAAAATTTTGATTTTGTATGATATGTCTTGTAAATACATAGGTGACTACAAAGTAACCGAAATAGACAAACTCTCATTGAGATTATGGAAAGAATACGGAGACATTGTAAAAATCGAAAAATTGCTCGGGAGACCGGATATGGTGTTTCTGTACGACGCGGACGAGATTGAAAAAGTATTCAGAAATGAAGAACTTATGCCGCATCGACCATCTATGCCATCCTTAAATTATTACAAACACGTTTTAAGGAAGGATTTCTTTGGTGATCTGGCTGGTGTTATAGCAGTGTAAGTGTACATTAGTCACGCGTGTTGATTATTAATTTATGCATTTTTATTTTTTAATATTTGTATACCTATAATAATAGTTACTCTGTGATCACCAACATAATATATAATAAAAAAAGAGTATGTACATAATAAGCTATAAATACTTATGTATATAGTTTTACGTCAAACACATTTTATTTAAAGAACTGCACCTATAATAAGACTATATATATATAAACAGTAATGCCTTAATGCGTGACCAGAAACTTATATATATATATATATATTATATATACGTTACCTTCTGTATAATTAATTCGAATTCCGGTATTCAATTTTGGACGACTTCACTAACGGTACTTACCTGTTTTATGTTATAGCCATGGTGAAAAATGGTATGAATTTCGAACTAAAGTACAACAACCTATGCTGCAACCGAGAACAGCAAAATTTTACATTGGGACTATTGAAGATACGGCAATAGCCTTTGTCAATAGGTTAGTAGGTAAACTATTAAATTGTTATACTTTTGTATATCTTATTGTTATATCTAACAACCTAAGTGGTGTTTCATAAACTTACTTACTTACTACTTAGGAACATAGTAAAATACACCATGTAAATAGATTAGTATAAGGCAAGTATAAAGATATTTTTCTATTTTATTTTAGCAAACATCGTGATTTATTTTAAGAGGATGTCATCGCACTATCTGTTTTCTTTTTCTTTTTCTTTTCCATTGAAAATATTACAAAATTATTAAAATTTAATATAATTAATTGTAACACATACTTACAGCTATATTATTAATTTTCATTGCCACGTTAATATTATTTACGTTATTATATTGTGTTTTTATTTATTTTAACCTTAAGTAGTTGTTATATATTTTAATTTATAAAGTACCTATGTTTTTTTGTTTAGAATAAAAAAAATAAAAAATAAAGACCAAGAAGTTCCTGACGACTTTTTAAATGAAATTCATAAATGGTCGCTTGAATGTAAGCCAGTTATACAGCGTACTTAATTGTTCTTTTAAAAATGAATACACAAACCTATTATTTAATGTTTATAGCTATCGCCAAAGTGGCATTAGATCAAAAACTCGGGTGCCTCGAAGATGAACACGCAGTAGACTCGGATACGCAAAATTTAATAGATGCCATTAACACGTTTTTTGCTAATGTCCCGGAGTTGGAATTAAAAATACCATTTTGGAAATTATTTAGTACTCCAACTTGGAGAAAGTACATAAATGCGTTGGATACCATTACCAAGTGAGGGTTTAATTTTATATACTATAAACGATTATTTAAAATTATTATAAACATCAATATACAAATAATTATGTAGAATGCAACCACAGAAAAAATGACAATATGTCGACAATGACTGTCTATAGTCAGTAATGATAAAGACTGTCATTGGTGGAAATCAGGGTGGTGATTGGGAGTTGACCTAAAAAAATTTCGAGCTTCCTTAAAAAAATAAAAAAAATAATTGATATAGTATTTCTTAATTTCTTTACATATTATATTGTCTAGAATATCTACGGATAAGTAATATTATAGTATTATGTACCTATATAGATTATAGAATATTTTCTTAGTATTATTAATAAATATTTTGACTGAAAAAAAGGCAGTGAAAAATGAAGTGGTTGCGAGAATGCCAATGATATCAACCTATACCGTCATTATTTTGAAAACAAATCATAAAAACCTTTTTTCTTCTGTATAGACAGTATATTGTCAGTTTGGATTCAAGTATTCGACACATTATTGTAGGCAGGTCAATTCTGAGCGAAGGAAATGAACAATTTTAATATAAAATAAAAATATAATTCTTTTTTTTAATGCTTTTAGATCAACTTCGGAGGAAAGTTGTATCACATTTTTAAAACTTGGGTATTAAAATTTATATTGTTATGACATTTTTAATGCATAAAGGGTTCAAAGGTAAGTTTTTGAATTTTACAGACTATTTATTAAAAATTGAACATATAGATACCTACCTCGTGATTATGAACCCGTACCAAATAGGTTAAGTACGTTTATAGTCCTTAGCTGATATAGGCGAATTAACTTATAAGGTCTTCCTACGCAAGCCTATTAAGAGGACGTAGTACCGGCGTTTTCAATACCAAAAACATGCTCGCTTAGATTCCAAATTTTGCACTCCAGAGTGGTTTTAGGACATAAACACCTATTAACAAAATTAAAGATAATAATATTTTCGAGGGCCCCACGTAGCCTTTTTTCAAAAAATTAATTTTTTGAAAAGTTACTGTCATTTTAACATGTTGAAAAAATCATTATTTTTAAACGATGTACTGAGCTTAATATTTGGAACAAAGAAAAAAACCTACGTGGGGCCCTCGAAAATATTATTATCTTTAATTTTGTTCATAGGTGTTTTTACGATTAAGCCACTCAGTAACCCATATTATTGGAACGCTCAAAGTATGTTTTATAAGAAAACTGCAGAAAATTACGCTCGGCAAGTGCTGCGCCCGTAGTCAGTGGCAGCGTTCGATACTAGCTGTGCATACCACCACCCCGCGCGCATTAACGGCGGTACCGCACCGTGGTCAAAACAGGTTCTCTATCGCAGCCGACCGCCCGTGCATAGTTTATAAATAACCAGATAAGAAAATGATTATTATATTTGTGACAAATAATATTTAATTTGGTTCGATTTTATATTTTGTATTCGTATCCGAATTTTATACAAATAAAAACTATACTTTTGTTCTTCAAGTAGGTAATAGTGTAATACGGCTTATTGAAGCGGTTTGCAATAAAAATACCTATTATAAAAATTGTAGAGGAGAATTTTTTTAACAATCGTAAGGAATCCGATTTTTGATATCGTATTCCAATCGTCCAATATCGCATGATAAATTAACAATTTTTTTTTTTTTACTTTTTATCGATTAATTATTTAACTCATTAATAAAAATATAAAAAATCGGGCTTATTTCGATTATTAAAAAAATTCTTCTCTCCAACTTTTATAATAGGTATTTTTACTGTTAACTGCTTCAATAAGCCGTATTACTTGAATTACGAAACCATATTTTGTTCACTAGGCCAAACTCTTCTTATCCGAATTTTATACAAATAAAAACTACTTTTGTTCTTCAATTAATACGGCTTATTGAAGAGGTTTACAGTAAAAATACCTATTATAAAAGTGGTAGAGGAGAATTTTTTAACAATCGTAATAAATCCGATTTTTGATATCGTATTCCAATCGTCCAATATCGCATGGTAAATTAACATTTTTTTTTTTTACTTTTTATCGATTAATTATTTAACTTATTAATAAAAATATAAAAAATCGAGCTTATTTCAATTGTTGAAAAAATTCTTCTCTAAAACTTTTATAATAGGTAGTTTTGCTGTAAACTATTTAAATAGGCCGTATTACTTGAATTATCGAACAAAAGTGGCTTGTAACAAAAAATGGAGATATCCTACAAAACAATTATATGAAGAATTTAATGTACTTAATATAAATAAGCTATATATAAAAACCTGTACCATTTTCCTAAAAAAACATAACATGTTATCCCCTGTAAATCACAAAGTTAACACTAGATATGCTACTAATAATTATTCGCTAAAATTTTCAAAAAAAGCTGGATGTCGTAAAGTGTATGATTTTGTTGGGACACATATACATAATATAATGCCCAAAGAAGTGGTTGATATGTCTCTTTCTATTTTCAAAAAATACATTACCCATTGGCTTCACCATGAATACGATGCTACAATATTGAAGTTTCAGGATTAATTTGTATTTTTTTTTCTTTTTATTTTTACACTACCATTGTCTGCCTTTCTTTTTAATTTTTTTTTTTTCTTTGCTCATAAAACTTTTTTTATATTATCTGTTCAAACATATATTACTGTTCTTGTGTTATTTTTTGTTTTTTACCATGTATTAGAGTAGCTATTTAAGGAGAAAATGATAAATGTAAATTTGTTGTATATAAGATATCTCCTAGGCCTCCACACGAGTTTTACTCAGTGAGGCCTAGTAATCTTTACCGATATTAAAATAAATAAAAAAATAAAAAAATTTGGGTATGATAAAAAAAAGAAATAGGTAGGTACTCAAAAAACCATTTATAACAATTAACAGAAATCATTCAATGTAGACAATCGAAGCCACAACCTGGTAAAGTGGTACATATTATAAATTGAATATAATTTGCGAAAGGATATTTTAAATAGTCCATACCATATATTTGGCAAACACTCTAATTGTGCCCGATATTTTTGCACTGGAAGAAAGTTATACGAACTGAATTTGATCGACGAAGTAATGCAAAGTGGTTTGATGAAAGAAATTACAACTGCACTTAGACGTGTTGCTGATAATGCAAAAAGTTTATTACTTGATGTTGATAACAACATCTGCGAACAGTTTAATAGTGTCATTAATAAGCACATAGGCGGTAAACGAATTAATTTTTCTCAAAAACAGTCGTACACCACTAGAATATATACTGCTGTACTGCTATAGTATCATTTAATACAGGTGGAAATTATATACGAGAGCTTCACAAAAAGATAACAACCAAAAGTCCAGGTACATTATTTAAAAAGTACCTACAGTGAGTTTAATTAATTAATTTTAATTTTATAATATTATTATGGCATGAATTAGAATTTAATTGAAATTTTGAGTTTTTTACAACAACGCTTTCAAATTAAAATTAAATAAATACTACCAAAACTTATATTTCACATTTCACATTTTTATATTTTGGTATATCGTATTAGCTATGAGTAAATTAAAAATTGAAATAATTTGTATATTAAAGGTGTATAGGCACAATAATAAAATAAATAAAATATTTCATTATGAATTATTTTTCAGTATTTATAATGTATGAATAGTATTAATTTATTATTATTATTATGTGGGTAATTGTTTTAATATTATTATATGTGTATAGGAATCATAGCCAAAAATTTTTTGAAGCATACGCAGGGCCGGTTTTAAGGGGCGGCAAAATTATCTCAGATAAAATAAACAAAAAATTAATTTTTTATGTAAAGAGAAAGATTTCTAAAAAATGATACATTTTATTACTATTTATTTTTTAAATTCACATATGCATACGTTTTTTTTTACCTATATTTTATCATTTTAAATAAAGAAAAATAAACGTTATTAACTAAGTAGGTAGGTACCTACTAGGTATCATGGAAGATTCTAGGTAGATAGTACCTAAGACCTAAGTTATAAATTAGTTACTTATGTTTTTTTGTATAGTTTACCTACTATTAAAAATCTAATATTGGAATGCATAGGTACCTATAGTTAAAATTGCTAAAAATTAACTGCAAATTAAATTTCAATGAGAAAGGGAAACATAAAAAGGTGGGCAAGTGGCCAGTGGGTGTCGCTCTGCTGTACAGTAGGTTACAAGTCTGTCACTGTATAATGGATAGTATTAAATTTGAATTCAATGATATAATATCATTGTATAAGAAAAACGATTCTGAGCGGAGATGGTATGTCAGTCTAGGTATAAGACATAATATTGTATACATATCTATGGTATTAGAAAAAAAATTGACCTATAATAGGTAGTAGGTACCTATAATAAATTCCAAATTAATCATATCACAATATCCATTAGGTGCTGATAACGCGTTATACATCAACAACATACCGTGATACTATCATAGATATATAATAGTACACTTTAGAAGTTTCAAGTACTCACGAATAACATTATTCAATCACAACAAAATAACTAAAATAGTTATTCTAGGTTTTTTAATATGTAATTTCGTCCAAATTTGAATTTAAAATTTCTGTAAAAAATAACTGTGTTCATATATTTTTTAGATTTTTTGGTTACAGTATGAACTATTTATGAGAACCTTTGTTTTAAATTTGCAATCCTTAGCTATAAAAACTGAACATTTTATAATTTATTAATTACAATGATTTATAATTTTCGAGATTTTGATACATTTTGTCAAAATTCGATCTTTAAATGCTTATAAAAAAAACTGTGCCTATGTATTTTTAATATTTTTCAACTGCTCTTGTAACAATATATCAGGAGACTTGTATTAATTTTTTACACTTTTTGGCCCAATAGATAAAATTTTATTGATATTTATAGAAAAAAAACTAAAAAAAATTGAAAGATGTAAATGTCCATAAACAGCTCAAAAAGAGTAAAAATATTTTCAAAATTGTATGGTGTATAGGAAATGCTAATATGAATATTCAGTGAAATTTTCATGTATCTAAAGTTATTCGTTTTTGAATTACAACAAAATAAGGAAATCGCTACATGAGAAATCCAGTGAATATTCAATGTTGTAAAAATTTGAATTTCAAACGCTCTTAAAAATTTAATTTGACTTTCTTATATACATTTTTTTTTTGATAAGGGTAGATAATCTTATAAGGAATCTTGTATTACATTTTCAAATCTTAGATTTAAAAAGAAAAATTTTTACGAATTTCTAACTCAAAATAATTTGCTAATTTTAGTGATTTTTCGATATTTTGTCAATTTTTGAACTTTAAATGCTTATAAAAAAAAACTGTGACTAAGGATTTTTAATACTTTTCATCTGCCTTTGAAAAAATATACTAGGAGCCTTGTATTAAATTTTCAATCTTTTTTAACCAACAAATAAAATTTTATTGATATTTCTAGAAAAAAAACAAAAAAAATGGAAAATGAAAATGTCCCTAAACAGTTCAAAATAAATCAAAATATTTTGAAAATGTTATCGTATATAGAAAATGCAAATATAAACAACCAGTGAAAATTTCATGTACCTAAGGTCATTTTTTTTAAAGTTACACCAAAAACTAAATTCAATTTTGTGAAAAATCGATTTTGCGTAATAATTCCCGTTTTTCCTTAATTCTTATGTTGTTTTTCCCGGTGCTTTTGAAAATTACTGAGCATTTTAAATTTTGACCTCCCAATGCACCAACGATATTCACTTTCCAATCGAACAAGATACTGAAGTTGAAAATCAAAGCATTATTTCTACTACTTATCGTGTACACAGACACAAAAAAAAAAAAGAAAAAAAGAAAACTATAAATTATATTATACTTGTTGAACTAATATTAATTTTTTTCATGGTTAAATAATAGGAAATTGTTGCGCGTTACCCTTTTATTATATTAATATAGGTAATATGATTATAATTTCTTTTTTAAATATAAATGTGGTGATAAATAATATAGGTCACATACTAAATCTATTTATTGATTTTATCCATTTGATAAATTCATTGGATTGTGTAATACTTATAATATAGTAGTTTGTACTTTGTATAGTAGGTAATTTTAAACTAACAGTTACTTATAGAAATAATTTTTTAATAAATTTATGTTACAATTTGTTATAATTATATTTTACAACTATACATTTTAAATTAGTTATTTTTCTCAGTCAATGTACCCGATCTCTAAAAATTACAGAATGATAAATAAAGATTTTAGTGTACCTATTATTATTATCATTACGAGTAGGTTACCTATAATTATTATATTACTATATTAGGTATACGTTAGGTAATAGGTATACCTACTACAAACATATTATTAATTTAAATAAATATTTGTAATTACTTATTATCATATTTTAATATAACATTAACAGTTGAACTTAAAAAATAATACACGGTAAATTAATATTAATTTAATTGCGCTGTTTTTATTTTATTTACCATTTATTAGATTTTACTATAAGTATTATATTTAAATAAGTAATAATTCAATAACTTCAAATCAAGCTATGTTATAATACAGTTTCTACGGTCTACATGTTGGGACATAAATTTAAGTAAACAGTATCTTAATTTATAATCTGTAGTTCGTAGGTACGCGAGGGTATTGAAAATATTACGGCGGCATTTGCGTATAATGAATTATATAATGATACGAATGGTACTGGACGAACGTTCATAGACAAATAAACGGCGCTCCCGAAGTCCTGAACGAGCACTCGTCGCCGCCGTCGGCCGGTTGCGAATAGTAGGCGTGACTTAAACGCCGCGCGCTTGCGGATCGTGAAAACACCTAACAGCGCATCCTCTCGGTCGTTGCATGCGTACAGCTTTGGGTGACACGTCCTCTTAATACATGATGGATCGATTGGTTCTGAGTTACTTTCAATAGTTAACTTACTCCTTGTAGCCAGACTCGCTCTTCCTATCGTTTTTTTTGCCATTGTGTTCGATAAACTTTTCCAGTAAGGCCGCCACCGTCCACTCTATGTATCTCTAGGATGATGTGTTGTCAACGAAGATCCGTCTTCTAATTTTTAAATTATTGTCCTAATGTGTTATTTCTCTCCCTTATTATTTTGTTTTTTCTATAAGTATGACTTGATGTTTTGTCTTCTTAGGGCCGATTTCACCATCACAGTTAATCACGATTAAACTTCGATAACGCTATTAATCGGCTGATAACAGATATTTAACCGGCCAAATTCGGCCGATTAAACTCCGGTTAACTTTAACCGTGATTAACTGTGTTGATGAAATCGGCCCTTAAAATCAATGTTTGTATTCTTTATCTAATTATATTAAATTGATAAATGATAACTGTACTTTGCAGGGTTGTGGCCCGTATTGAAAACAAAATAAAATAAATAAAAATAATGATTTTCGAATTTTCAAAATGTTTAACAGGTACTTACTAATTAAATAATAAAAAAAAATAAATCATTTTGTGGCATAAATCATTATCTATAATGCAATTTTAATAACGGTACCTATTTTGACTTTTGAGTGAAGTGAGAAAATGTTCTACCTATTGCATTTTAAGTCATTATATAACTAATTACTGTACCATCAGACACAGGGTTGTACCTGACTAATATTTTATTATTTGACAGTAATTGAATGTGTATAACATTATAACGAATTGTATTATTATTTATTTTTATAGTGTTACATCTAAACACATAAACCGATCAATGGATCAACTTTTATCTCAAAAATCATTTTGTCCAGATAGCCAATCATCTTTGTTACAAAGAGTGCTTAGTTTGGATCCATCAAATCCTAAATTAGCTCAGATACTATCGTTAGATATGTTTATCGTCGGCATAGACACGGTGAGATAAAGTTATATAACAGTAAATTTGTCACTTTATTACTGATGAAATTTAATTGTCAACGTTTTATAGACTTCTGCAGCTCTTGCGTCGATTCTTTATCAATTAAGTCGACATCCAGATAAACAAAAGAAACTTAGGGAAGAAATACGAACCGTATTGCCGAATGCTGATTCAAAATTGACCTCCAGCAAACTTGAACAGCTGCAGTATCTAAAAGCATGCATAAAAGAAACGTTGAGGTTCGAAATTATGTTTTGGTTTTATGAAAAGTATTATGTATTTAGGTAGAATTTTAAACTGGATTACATAATGCGTGTAATTCGTTCAATTGTAGAATGTATCCGGTGGTTATTGGAAATGGTCGCTGCATGACCAAAGAAACAATAATAAGTGGATATAAAATTCCAAAAGGAGTAAGTGTAATATAAATATATAATATTTTACTGTATAAGTAGTAATGTAGTGTTATAATAATAATTAGGTAATATAGGTAGGTAATAAAAGTGGTAAGTAAAATGAACATTGTATATTTATGAAAACAATGTTAAATACTTACTTATAAATTATTATAATATGAAGTTTATAATTTATATTATAGATAACTAGATAAGTGGTTGGATATAGGTACAATACTTAATCATAGTAAATATTTATATATTATATTACTATTAAACTCAAATTATCACTTATACAATGTAGGATATATTAACATAGATTCCCTAATGCATGGTACCTATTAAGAATGACCGATGCCTTTATATAGGTACTACATGTCCATTAATATTAAAGACTATACGAAATATTATGATTTCTAAATATAATTCATATGCATTACCTAATCATACAAATTATGTAGGTAGATTATAATATTATGGGTTTGTAAATTATGTTGTTTAAACATAGGTGCAAGTCGTGTTTCAACATTACGCTATCAGCAACAGCAGTAAATATTTTTCACAGCCAGACCAGTTTTTACCGGAAAGGTGGTTAAAAGGAAGTGGATACAAACATCATCCGTTTGCTAGTTTACCATTTGGTTATGGCAAAAGAATGTGCTTGGGCCGTAGATTTGCCGATTTGGAACTTCAAACAGTTGTTTCAAAGGTACCAATATTGTGTGATCATATTAAATGTTTTAAGTACCCACATTTCCTACAGATAAAATATCGTGATAATTTATTATAATTTTTTTTATTAAAGATTTTTCAGAATTTTGAAGTCAAGTATGAGTATGGTGATTTGGAATACACTGTACACCCGATATACATGCCAGATGGCCCATTGAAATTCAAAATGATTGAAAACTAAATATTTTTCTTTAATAGAAATTGTACCTATATCAATACCAAATACTAAATGTCTTAAACATACAATATTGTTAGGTACCTAAAAAATATTGAACAGGTACTAAGTACTTTAATACAAGGTACTGCTATTATTTATTAAATCATACAGCCAAAATGTAAATAATATAAATATGTATTTATGTTAGGTTTCAATATGTAATATATACTAGCTAAGAATTAATGATGTTTGATAATAAATATTTTAATAATATTATTTATAATTTGTTTTGAAGAGTATTTGAGGTTTTTCTCCAAATCAATAGGGATTTTAACATTATAAACAATAAAGTATACACAAGTTATATAGGTAATACTACTAATACTACCATTAGAAAAAAAATACTTATAGCAATATAAATACAGGGCCGGTGGCAATGGGGGTATCAGTATGGCGTGGGTCGTCACCCCCCCCCTCTTTGAATTTTTCGTAACTATCAGTCGAGGCATTTACTTAATAACAGAGAGCTGTCAGAAATTATAAGACTTGTTAAAAACTGTTTTCCTAGATTTTCTTAGGTTAAAATTTTTATTATGAAAACGATGAGAACGGGTCCTCGGCAGTCAGCAGAATTTTGATTTCTAAATCGGTAACTACAGAATACATAAGATGGCACTATTAGTAGACAATAGTTTACTATGTTATAAAAATTTTTAAATACGGGTGGATATTTATTATTTAATCAATGACTCTATTGACTCCACAATAGATACAAAAACCTAACCTTGTTTTCCTGATTCCCACTGACTTCGACTGTAGGTACGCACTTGAAAATTTAAAAGCTTACTGATTTAGAAATCAAAATACTACCGATTGCTAAGGATCCGTATAATACCTATAATAACTTCTTTAGTAGGTACCGTCGTCCATCGGTATGGTATCGCTAATCGCTATCTCAAGCAACCTATCAGTGGGCTGTGGGTGGTAGGCCTATTTTGTTATTATTACAGTCAGTGGTGTCATTTCAGTTTTTAATAGAGGGGGTAAAAATTTCGACAAGCCCAAATGAGTAACTTAAGAAACAACCACTGGCAAGCACATATTAATAAATTATGTTCCTTTTCCTTCATAAAATACCTACATACATACATATAAATACCAACTTTCATGTACGTCCACACTTGAGTATAAATATAAATATAATCGAACTATTTAATATTAATTACAGTAATTACTAATTAGGTACCAATTTATCATTGTGGTACAAATTTCTTAGTACCTACTACCTACCTACTCAATATAATATTTTCTTATAAATATAGGCATTTTTTTGCGCTAATATAATATAATACTGGATAATCGAAAACTACAATGCAACGGCCCATCGGGCTGCTTTTAAAATCAGACAGGGGCAAATGCCCACCTGGCACCTTGTCTCACCACTGATTACAGTCAATGGACGGTTTGTAGGTACCGCCAGAACGCCTCGCGGGAAAGTAAAAATCTAATCTAGAATATTACAAATAATTTTCTTAAGGAAATTCGACGATACAAATTCAAAACTTACTACTCGAAACAATATTTATATTTCAGAAGGGTAGGATATTTTTAGGGTTCCGTACGGTAAAACGGGACCCTATTGCCTACTATAAGGCTCCGCTGTCCGTCCGTCAGTCCGTCACCAGGCTGTATCTCATGAACCATGAAAGTTGAAATTTTCACAGATTATGTATTTCTGTTGCCGCTATAACAACAAATACTAAAAATCCTAGAATATATAATATATGATGGTTCAGGAACCCGAGTCCCGGACTCGCACTTGGCCGGTTTTTTTAATTAAATTTTATGATGTATTGCTAAATTAAAAAAAATATTTATTATTGACAAACACTTAGCTGATTCAGTGGTGATACCAGGATTTTTCTTCAGGGGGGGGGATCAATTTTTACACAGCTGCGGTTAACCTAGGTTCATATATAAGGGCCGCTTTCACCACTAATTTAAACTTCGATTAAAGTTAAACCCGCGGCACGGACTAAGATATACAGGACTGGACACGAGATGAATATTGTGGTTACGAAATGTTTTACAACAGGCGGAGTTCGGGGGGATATTTTCCTTTTAGCATTACTAGCGCCGTCTTAGTGGATACTTATGGAACTAGAAATTTGTATGATGTGTTCTAGTTCCATAAGTATCCACTAGGACGGCGCTAGTAATGCTAAAAGGAAAATATCCCCCCGAACACTGCCTGTTGTAAAACATTTCGTAGTCAACCCCCCCACACCCTCCAACCTTGTCGTGTCCAGTCCTGATATCTTAGTCCGTGCCCGCGGGGTTTAACCACGATTTAAGATAGTATGGTTGCCCAACGAGCTATGATAAGACGGCATCGGATTTAAATCGGACCCCCGCTGCTAGCGATTTTAGTGGACTATTAAAATACTACTACAATAATATATTATTATAATATATGACGCGGTCTTAGAATATCAATATACTATAATAACTATTTTTTTTTTTTTTTAGTTTTATTTTGAATTAACATAATATATTATTATAATTTATTATATTTATATAATTACCTAATTAATAAATAATAATAAATATTATTTATTATTCAATAGACAAACATAATAATTGTTATTAACAATTTCTATATCAGGTCATCATTATTCAATAGACAAACATAATTATTAACAAATTTTACAAAGTATTTAAAATATTATATTAAAAATCAAAACTGTATTATACATATTTGTTGTATGGAGTAATTATATTTATTTTATGGTTTAACTAAGTAATTGGGTTAACTATGTGTTATATCTATGTGTTAACTAATTTAGATAATTTTTTTTTAGTTTTGTTTAATTTTTTGCTGTTTTGGTTTTGCATAAAAGTGTATTGTCGCATTCTCATTATTATATAATGAGTACAAATGTCCGTTAATATAGTCAGCCTATGTTCTGCACATGGAAATTCAAAATAAATATTTTTATTACAGAAGTCTTCATAGGTTTCTTCAAAAGCATTTGGAGAATCAATACACTTTGTAAGAGAATTTTCCAATGCTTTTATAATTTGGAAGAGATTGCTGTCTGGGTGGGTAAGATATCCTCTACTCTTTGCAATCACCAAATCAGCATTTGTACCATAAGTTGTTGCATTAAGGTTCTTTAAACCAGATGCACATGACTTACATTTAGTTTTCGACGTCATCCGTTTTGCCATATATCTAAAAAATTACAAAAAATAAAAGAAGTCCTGGATATTATTATGATTAAATAGTTTGGTAGAGGTAAATTTGTTTTAATTAAATCATATTTACCCAGCTAAGTAGTACACTATGCAATCAAAAACAGTAGTATCTGAATAATTGTGTTCTAAAAATATCTCATCTAGATCCCAACATCCCTCATTAGAAATTTTAGTTAATTTTTCTTTTAGTTTTTCAATTTTATTAACACGTATAGAACAATTATTATTTTCGTTTACAATTTCTTTAATCTCAGCTATAGTAATAATAGGCACATTCTCTAAAAATTTGGAATGAATTTTATTTAATTCTTTAGTTGTAACTTTTACCAAACATGAATAATATATTAGTACCTTCATTTATATTACAGTTTCCAGTTTTCGGTGGTTTGATTAAAGAATATACCGAAAGCATCCTATACAACTGAAGAAATGAGGGACAAGATGGATGGTCATTTGGACCAGCAACTTGTCTAATTATCCCAAAAAATTGCTGTTAAATAAATAATAGTTTTATAATATTTTTGACGGATATATTTTGTACTTGGTGCATTAAGAATAATTATTATTATTAAGTGAAGAATATTTACTTCTATACGATCCTGATTAAACTTTGAGGTCAATACATAGGCAAAATTTTTTTCATTTAATAAATAATTAACTGCATCTATTGTTGATTGCAAAGTAATTTTTAGCCCATCAACAGTATTTTGAGTTAAAAAAGCATTTTTTTCAATCAAATTATCATTTAAATTAGATTCCCATTTTAAAAACCACTGTAATGTTTCATTTAGTACCTATAATATTAAAAAAACAATGAATTTTAATAATAATATAATTTGAGTATGACGTCAGAAAGTGTTACCGTAAAATGGGGTGAATAGGAACTACGGGGCGTATCGGAACAAAATGAGAAAAAATTGTTTCGAATTGATAACACTGTTGCAAAAGTTAAAAAATATTTATGATAACACCGGCACTTTGTTTCAAACAACATTTAGGTGATATTGACTATATCGCATTTGGTGTAGTACCATTTTGTTAACACTGATAAGCTATTATCATAATCATTTTTTTTTTGTGAAATTGAAGTACACGAAAAACTTCTCCAGAAAATCATACACGGAGTTGAGGTAATCAATTGTTACAATTATTAAAAGTTAATAGACGTATATTAATAATATTTTGTTCAATCACAATGGAATTCAAAATATTTTTCGAGTAGAAAATATGCTTCCAAGTTCAATACTACTAATCTGTGTCATAAATGGGGTGAACAGGAACACTCGAAAATATTAACAAATTTCAATACCTACCACATTTATTTAAAATGTCTGTTACCTACCTATATAATTGCTGTAGGCTAAGTGCAGACTTATTTATTAAGTTATTTAAAAAAAAGAAGAGAAGACTACAAGTTATTTTAATTTAATATGTTATTATATTTATAAAGTTTAAATAAATAAAAACTCATGCAATTTGTTTTAATTTGTTTTTTATTAATTATGTAGGTATTTTTATAAAAACTTTTTTGAAATTAATAAGGTAGGTATATTCTATAACCTTTTTTAAAAATAAAATGTGTTCCTATCTACCTACAGTTGATCTGAATAAGAAAATGTGAGAAAACTTTACCTATGTTCCGGTTCACCCCATCAACGTGGAAATAGGAACACGTTTTTGAAAAAAAATATAAAAAAAACTACCAGTCCTAAACTAAAAATTCTACATTACAATAACGAGTCAGTATGTAGTCTATCCAAAACACT